AAAGGACCAAACCAGCAAAGGTGAATAGGAGTTAAAAATTAGCTTGAAACGTTCAACATTATCTCATGAAACTGACTTTCTTCTTAGGAATAAGTGATTCTTGGGGTAATTATAGCCAGAATTTCAAGTGTCTTAGAATAACCTTTTGATGTAACCTTGACTAATCCAGCATGGCTTTTTAAAGGGACCAAACTCAGCACTGTGAAATAGGAGTTAAAATTAGATTGAAGGTAAAATTATCTCATGAACTGACTTTCTTCTTAGGAATAAAGTGAATTCTTGGGGTAATTTTAGCCAAAAATTCAAGTTCTTAGAATAAAATTTTGATGGAACCTGAGCTAATCTCAGCCATGTCCTTTTTAAAGGGACCAAACCAGCAAAGGTGAATAGTATTTAAAATTAGCTTGAAAGGTAAAATTATCTCAGGAACTGACTTTCTTCTTAGGAATAAAATGAATTCTTGGGGTAATTTTAGCCAAAAATTCAGGTTCTTAGAATAAAATTTTGATGGAACCTGAGCTAATCTCAGCCATGTCCTTTTTAAAGGGACCAAACCAGCAAAGGTGAATAGGATTTAAAATTAGCTTTAAAGGTAAAATTATCTCAGGAACTGACTTTCTTCTTAGGAATAAAGTGAATTCTTGGGGTAATTTAAGCAAAAATTCAGGTTCTGAGAATAAAATTTTAATGGAACCTGAGCTAATCTCAGCCATGTCTTTTTTAAAGGGACCAAACCAGCAAAGGTGAATAGGAGTTAAAATTAGCTTTAAAGGTACAATTATCTCAGGAACTGACTTTCTTCTTAGGAATAAAGTGAATTCTTGGGGTAATTTTAGCCAAGAATTCAAGTTCTTAGAATAAAATTTTGATGGAACCTGAGCTAATCTCAGCCATGTCTTTTTTAAAGGTGACCAAACCAGCAAAGGTGAATGGATTTCAAATCTACTTTAAAGGTAAGAATATCTCCAGGACTGACTTTCTTCTAGGAATAAAGTGATTCTTGGGGTAAGTTTATAGCCAAGCATTCATTCTCAGAATAAAACTTTTGATGGAACCTGAGCTAATCGCAGCCATGTCCTTTTTTAAAGGGAACCAAACCAAAAAGGTGCAATAGGAAAAAAAGTGGGGTTAAACTTTAGCGCGTAGAAAGGTAATTATCTCAGGAACTGACTTTCCCTCTATAGGGAATCAAGTGAATTTCTTTGGGTATTTTAGCCAAGAATTCAAGTTCTTAGAATAAAATTTTAATGGAACCTGATGTAATCTCAGCCATGCCCCTTTTAAAGGGACCAAACCAGCAAAGGTGAATAGGATTTAAAATTAGCTTTAAAGGTAAAATTATCTCAGGAACTGACTTTCTTCTTAGGAATAAAGTGAATTCTTGGGGTAATTTTAGCCAAGAATTCAAGTTCTTAGAATAAAATTTTGATGGAACCTGAGCTAATCTCAGCCATGTCCTTTTTAAAGGGACCAAACCAGCAAAGGTGAATAGGAGTTAAAATTAGCTTTAAAGGTAAAATTATCTCAGGAACTGACTTTCTTCTTATGAATAAAGTGAATTCTTGGGGTAATTTTAGCCAAGAATTCAAGTTCTTAGAATAAAATTTTGATGGAACCTGAGCTAATCTCAGCCATGTCCTTTTTAAAGGGACCAAACCAGCAAAGGTGAATAGGAGTTAAAATTAGCTTTAAAGGTAAAATTATCTCAGGAACTGACTTTCATCTTAGGAATAAAGTGAATTCTTGGGGTAATTTAAGCCAAAAATTCAGTTCTTAGAATAAAATTTTGATGGACCTGAGCTAATCTCAGCCATGTCTTTTTTAAAGGGACCAAACCAGCAAAGGGGACTAGTAGTTAAAATTAGCTTTAAAAGGAAATTATCTCGACTGACTTTCATCTTAGGAATAAAGTGAATTCTTGGGTATTTAAGCAAAATTCAGGTTCTTAGAATAAAATTTTGATGGAACCTGAGCTAATCTCAGCCATGTCCTTTTTAAGGGCCAACCAGCAAAGTGAATAGGAGTTAAAATTAGCTTTAAAGGTAAATTATCTCTGACTACTTTCCTCTAGGAATAAAGTCAATTCAATTTTAGCCAGAATTCAAGTTTTAAATAAAATTTTATGGAACCGAGCTATCTCAGCCATGTCCTTTTTAAAGGGACCAAACCAGCAAAGGTGGATAGGAGTTAAAATTAGCTTTAAAGGTAAAATTATCTCAGGAACTGACTTTCTTCTTAGGAATAAAGTGAATTCCTGGGGTAATTTTAGCCAAGAATTTAAGTTCTTAGAATAATTAGCTTTAAAGCTAAAATTATCTCAGGAATTGATTTTGCTCTCAGGAATAAAGTAATTTTTTGGGAATCTGAGGTAATTTTAATCAACGCACAAGCCCCTAAAAGTAAAATATATAATAATAATAAAGTTGGAAGGGATCTTAGAGGTCATCTAGTCTAACCCTCTGCTCAGGCAGGAAACCCTATAGTTTAACAAGTTAACAAGACAAGAAACTAGCGCCCGGGTAGGCAGCCTTGGCTCTTTTATAACTTGTGAACTTCAACTCCCAGAATTCCTGATCCAGCATGGCTCAGCTTGGAAACTTCCTTTTCCCCTCAACGTGCCTGGCTCAGGAATTTTGGGAGTTGAAGTCCAAGGGTCTTCAAATGTGGCCCTTTTATGACTTGTGGACTTCAACTCCCAGAATTCCTGATCCAGCATGGCTCAGCTTGGAAACTTCCCTTTCCCCTCAACATGGCTGGCTCAGGAATTTTGGGAATTGAAGTCCAAGGGTCTTCAAATGTGGCCCTTTTATGACTTCTGTATTTCAATTCCCAGAATTCCTCAGCTAGCGTGCCTGGCTGAGGAATTCTGGGAGTTGAAGTCCAGGGGTCTTCAAACATGGCCCTTTTATGACTTGTGGACTTCAACTCCCAGAATTCCTCAGCCAGCGGGCCAATCCACAAGTCATAAAAGGGTTAAGTTTGAAGACCTCTGCCTTAAAAGAAGCAAAACATGTAGAAAACAGGCTAGTGGCTTAAGGGAGCAATGTTACAAGTTATTGTATCTTGCCTTCTTTCACAAGTAGGATAAAACACATAAAACCCCTTTGACTGATTGCTTTTCTAACCTCTGAACATCCATGGTCATTTGGTGATGTTGATTTTTTTTTTTTTAATTTCAAAGGCATGAATCCATGTAGACGAAGAAGAAGACATCAACAGTAAGACAGATGGTTTAATTCACTCTCCAGTGTATTATGAAAGTGAGGAAGCCTGGCAGATACTGTTTGCAACATGTTAACTACTGCAAAAATCTTTGGGTCTTGCTAAAGTTTATCTTAAGACTTGCTTTAGCAAAGTTTTTTTTTAAACATTACAAAGTATCAAGGGTAAAAAGAGCAGTCATAAGTGTGACAAACATGCCTAAAAAGTAGCAAAAAAATTTCTGACCCAAGACAATTTTAGCTATTGGCTGTAGATCTTAGAATCAGACAGATACCAGCCTCCTCCAGTACCTGAGGACTCCCTCAGTGAGACTCAAGCCGGAAGGGAATCCTTTGGGATCACCTCCCTCCCACCTTCACACCCTTGGAAATAATGCCAATACCAGCCAGACTTCTTAGAAGCAAAAGTAAACCTGGTGATGCATTTTAATATGAGGAATACCAATAAAGAAGAATATTTGTGGTTAACAGTTGAAATGAGGTGTCTTTGGTGCTCTCTGAGCTTGGCGGTTTTCTTGTAGACCAAGCATGTCCAAACTCGTGACGTCATGTGACGTCATGCAACGCATCGGGCTGGTTTTGCCCTTGCCGGCAATGGGGTGGGCGTGGCTTCCACGTGACCTGTCCGGTCCATGGGCCGGCAATTTGACACCCCTGTTGTAGTGCAGTTTGTTCCCAGTTTATGTTCTAGTGCAGTGGTGGCGAACCTATGGCACTCGGAGCCCTCTCTGTGGGCACATGTGCTGTTGCCCCAGCCTTGCCTCCCCCTGCGACCCCCTCCTCTCCAGCAGCTCCCCTGAAGGAGACTCGCCCTCGAGCGTGGCCCACACGGAGCAGCGCAGCCAAGGATATGGCAGCCAGGCAGCGTAGACAAGACTCTGCCCTCACACCCCATCATGCAGCTGATGCTGCAGGGCGCGGGCAGAGGGCGTGGCTGCCATAGTGCTGCTGGGCTGCCTGGGCAATCTGCGGAGGGCCATGGAGGCGGTAAGTGGTCCTGTGGGCCGGGGGTGGGTGGGGGGTGGGGATGGAGGGGTGGAGCGGGGTCGGGGCAAGTTTTGGGCACTCGGTCTCTAAAAGGTTCGCCATCACTGTTCTAGTGGCTCCTTTCAGTGTTAGCGAAAATGGTCTTGGAGGTTGTTTGTTGCGCTATGTGTTGTTAGCTTCTTTGGCAGCTCCTTGATTAGGGTATTGTTTACTTCTTGATTGTTGGTCTGGAAATTTAGCCTTGGCAATGGTTCATAGAACCAAAAAGAAAACATCAATGGCCCTTTTTAATGTTAGGTTGGCCATTGATCTGTAAAAGATGTTATAGTTTTGTAGCTTTGCAGACTGAGCAGAGGAAGTGCACTCTTCTACCAAATATTCTTCGAAAGAGACAACGTTGCTGGGCACGACTGAGGAAGAAACAAAGGAGAAAGAAGAAAAAAGAAGAAAAAAAGAGCAAGAAAATGTCTCCAGCGCAAGCCCTCTTAGTCTTCGGCTGTGATGGCACCCTCTACGCTGAGAGGTATGTTTAGTTGAGTCTTATATTCTTTAAAGCTTTAGGACAGGGGTCTCCAAACCTGGCCCTTTTATGACTTGTGGACTTCAACTCCCAGAATTCCTCAGCCAGCGTGCTGGGAGTTGAAGTCCACAAGTCATAAAAGGGCCAGGTTTGGAGACCCCTGCTTTAGGATATGGAGGGAGGTGGATGGTCTTCCAGTAATTATGCCTAGGTAAGCAAGGGTAACCCCTGTGTCTGGGGTAATAGGAACCACTGTGTATTGTGCATTCTTAGGAGTAAAACCCCAGTTCCAACTGAAGTAATGTTGACTTTCAAGGCACGAATCCAAAATGACCTGTAGACGAAGAAGAAGACATCAACAGTAAGACAGATGGTTTAATTCACTCTTCGGTGTATCATGAAATTGAGGAAGCCTGGCCAGTACTGTTTGGGCCTTGCTGAAATTTACCCTAAGGCAGTGGTGACGAACCTATGGCACGTGGGACAGAGGTGGCACTCTGAGCCCTCTCTATGGGCACGCGTGCCTTCGCCCCAGCCCCACCTCCCCCCGCGGCCCCCTCTTCTCCAGCAGACCTCCGGAGGAGAATCACCCCTGGGTGTGGCCCGTGCGCAGCAGCCCAGCCAAGGACATGGCAGCCGGGCAGTGGGGACAAGACTCCGCCCTCGCACCCTGTCGCATGCAGATGATGCTGTGGGGCGCAGGCAGAAGGCGTGGCTGCCATGGCACTGCAGGACCACCTGGGAGATCTGCGACGGGCCATGGAGGCGGTAGGTGGCCCTGCGGGATGGCAGAGCGGGATGGGGAGGCGGGCGGGCGAGAGCTGGGGCAGGGCGGCTTTTGGACACTCTAAAAGATCTAAAAGGTTCGCCATCACTGCCCTAAGGCTTGCTTTAGCAGTTTTTTAAAAAAATGGTCTTGGAGGTTCTTTGTTGTGCTATTTGTTGTTAGCGTCTTTGGCAGTTCCTTGATTAGGACATTGTTTACTTCTTGATTGCTGGTCTGATGTTAATCATAGTGTTAATCTATGCATATCTCAGTGTGGATTGCTGGTGAAGAGGTGTTGTCTTTTTTGCAAAGTGGGTACATATTGTTTCTGTCTGTCTATTCATGGCTAATTTGTCAGAGTGACAGGCTCCTAGAAATTTATTAATGTTTTTGGACATTGCTTGGTCTACGACAGGGGTAGGCAACCTTGGCTTTTTTATGACTCCTGTACTTCAACTCCCAGAATTCCTGAGCCAGAATGGCTGGCTCAGGAATTCTGTGAGTTGAAGTCCACGAGTCATAAAAGAGCCAAGGTTGCCTATCCCTGGTCTAGGATAGTCAGTTTCCCAACTATAACTATGGTTAGGTCTTTGAATTTATTGTGAAATTAAAGAGTTTTCATTATATATTCTGGCTGCTACCTGGTATTATGATTGATATTTGATTTCACACCTTTCTTCCCTAGCATAATTTTAGCCATGGTGATGGTTCTTAGAACCAGAAAGGAAACCTCAGCGGCCCATTTAAATGATCAGTGTGGCCGGTGATTAATAATAGATTTTATAGATTTGTGCCTGGCATAATTCTAGCCAATGGTGATGGTTCTTAGAACCAGAAAGAAAACCTCAATGGCCCTTCTTAATGCTAGGTGTGGCTTTTGATCTATAATAGATTTTATAGTTTTCTGCCTGGCATTATTTTAGCCATGACGATGGTTCTTAGAACCAGAAAGGAAACCTCAATGGCCCTTCTTAATGCTAGGTGTGGCTGTTGATCTATAATAGATTTTATAGTTTTCTGGCTGGCAATATTTTAGCCATGACGATGGTTCTTAGAACCAGAAAGGAAATCTCAACGGCTCATTTAAATGACCAGCATGGCCGATGATTAATAATAGATTTTATAGTTTTCTGGCTGGCATAATTTTAGCCATGACGATGGTTCTTAGAACCAGAAAGGAAACCTCAATGGCCCCTTTCTAATGCTAGGTGTGGCCATTGATCTATAAAAGATTTTATAGTTTCCTAGCTTTGCAGATTGAGCGGAGGAACAAGTTGCGCTCTTCTGCCAAATGTTCCTCGAAAGAGACGACGCATGCTGGGCATGGCAGAGGAAGAAACCAAAGAGAAAGAAGAAGAAAGAAAGTAGAACCAAGACAGCAAGAAAATGTCTCCAGCTCAAGCCCTATTAGCCTTTGGCTGTGATGGCACCTCCTACACTGTGAGGTAAGTTTAGTTGAGTCTTGTATTCTTCAAAGTCTCAGGGTATGGAGGGAGGCGGATGATCCGTTATGCCAGGGGTCCCCAACCCCTGGTTGGTGGACCATCACTGGTCCGTAGCATGCCAGCAAGTGGGCCACACAAAGAAGCAAAGCTCCATCCTCAGGATTCAGGCAGTATTCAAAACCACACCCCCTCTGGTCCACAGAAAACCTTTCTCCACGGCACCGGTCCTTGGTGCCCAAAAGGTTGGGAACCTCTGCATTATGCCTAGATAAGGAATGGTAACACCTGCATCTGAGCTAAGAGTAACCATTGTGTATTATGCATTCTTAGGAGTAAAACTCCAGGGGCAGCTGATGTAACATTGATATTTTTTTTTTTAATCTCAAAGGCGTCTACTATACGATCTTAGAAAACAGAAGACACAGTTGTCAGCATGCAGTGTTGATGGTGAAAATGGAGGAAGAAGGAATGGAATAAAAGAATGAATATGGTCTCCATCAAGAATGCTACTTCACCAACTCAATCACAACTGAGCTGTAGATAATAAAGTTTTAAATGTTTGTTGCCAGGCATAAATTTAGCCATGGCGATGGTTTTCAGAACCTGAAATAAATCCTCAACAGCCCTTTTCTAATGCTAGGTGTGGCTGTTGATCTACAAAAGATTTTATAGTTTTTTTAGCTTTGCAGTCTGAGTGGAGAAACAAGTGCACTCTTGCTGACAAATGTTCTTCGAAAGGGACAACCCTTGCTGTGCACAGCAGAGGAAGAAACAAAAGCAAAGAAAGAAAAAAGAAGACCAAGACAGCAAGAAAATGTCTCCAGCTCAAGCCCTATTAGCCTTTGGCTGTGAGGGCGCCTCCTACGCTGTGAGGTAAGTTTAGTTTAGTCTTGTATTCTTCAAAGGATATGGAGGGAGATGGGTGGTCTTCCCTACTTGTTGATCCGTTATGCCAGGGGTCCCCAATCCCTGGTCTGTGGACCAGCACCGGACTGCAGCATGCCAGCAAGTGGGCCACACAAACAAGCAAAGCTCCATCCTCAGGATGCAGGTATTCAACACCCCCCCCCCTCTGGTCCGCGGAAACCCTTTATCCACCGCACCATTCCCTGGTGCCCAAACAGTTGGGAACCTCTGCATTATACCTAGATAAGGAACGGTAACACCTGCATCTGAGGTAATAGTAACCACTATACTTTGTGCATTCTTAGGAGTAAAAGTCCAGGGGCAACTGAAGTAATACTATTTTTTTTAACTCAAAGGCTTCTACTACACCATCTTAGAAGACAGAAGACTCAGCTGCCAGCCTGCAGTGTTGATGGTGAAAATGGAGGAAGAAGGAATAGAACACAAGAATGAATATGGTCTCCATCAAGAATGCTACTTCACCAACTCAATCACAACTGAATTTTAGATTATAAAGTTTTAAATCTTTGTTGCCAGGCGTAAATTTAGCCATGGCAATGGTTCTTAGAACTGGGGGGGGGGGAAACTCTCAATGGCCCCTTTTAAAGCTAGGCATGGCTGTTGATAGATTATAAACTTTATGGTTTTCTTGCCTGGCATAATTTTAGCCATGGTAATGATTTTCAGAACCTGAAATAAAACCTCAACAGTCCTTTTCTAATGCTAGGTGTGGCTGTTGATCTATAAAAGATTTTATAGTTTTTTTAGCTTTGCAGACTGAGTGGAGAGCAAGTGCACTCTTGCTGACAAATGTTCCTCAAAAGAGACAACCCTTGCTGTGCACAGCAGAGGAAGAAACAAAAGCGAAGAAAGAAAAAAGAAGACCAAGACAGCAAGAAAATGTCTCCAGCTCAAGCCCTATTAGCCTTTGGCTGTGATGGAGCCTCCTACACTGTGTGGTAAGTTTAGTTGAGTCTTGTATTCTTCAAAGACTTAGGATATGGAGGGAGGTGGGTGGTCTTCCACTACTTGTTGATCTATTATGCCAGGGGTCCTCAACCCTCAGTCTGTGGACCAGCACTGGACCGCACCATGCCACCAAGCAGGCCACACAAACAAGCAAACTCCATCCTCAGGATGCAGGTATTCAAAACCATACCCCCTCTGGTCCGCGGAAACCCTTTATCCATGGCACCATTCCCTGGTGCCCAAATGGTTGGGAACCTCTGCATTATGCCTTGATAAGGAAGGTAACACTTGCACTTGAGGTAATAGTAACCACTGTACTTTGTGCATTCTTCGGAGTAAAACTCCAGGGGCAGCTGAAGTAATACTATTTTTTTTAACTCAAAGGCTTCTGCTACACCATCTTAGAAGACAGAAGATGAAAATGGAGGAAGAAGGAATGGAACGCAAGAATGAATATCAAGAATGCTACTTCACCACATAAATCAAAACTGAACTGTAGATAATAGATTTTATATCTTTCTTGCCTGGCATAAATTAAGCCCTGGCAATGGTTATTAGAACCAGAAAGGAAACCTCAATAGCCTTTTTTAATGCTAGGCATGGCTGTTGATCAATAATAGATTTTATAGTTTTCTGCCTGGCGTAATTTTAGCCATGGCGATGGTTCTTAGAACCAGAAAAGAAACTTCAGCAGCCTTTTTAAATGACCAGTGTGGCTGTTGATTGATTATAGATTTTATAGTTTTCTGCCTGGCATAATTCTGGCCATGGCGATGGTTCTTAGAACCAAAAGAAAACCTCAATGGCCCTTTTTAATGCTAGGTGTGGCTGTTGATCGATTATAGATTTTATACCTTTCTTGCCTGGCATAATTCTGGCCATGGCGATGGTTCTTAGAACCAGAAAGAAAGCCTCAACGGCCCTTTTTAATGCTAGTGTGGCCGTTGATCTATAAAAGATTTTGTAGCTTTAGAGTCCCTGAGATCGAGGGGAGGAACATTTGCACGCCTGTTGCCAAATGTTCCTCAGAAGAGACACGGAGGAAGAAACAAAGGCGAAGAAAGAAAAAAGAAGAACCAAGACAGCAAGAAAATGTCTCCAGTTCAAGCCCTATTAGCCTTTGGCTGTGATGGCGCCTCCTACGCTGTGAGGTAAGTTGTATTCTTCAAAGTTTTATGATATGGAGGGAGGTCAATGGTCCCCCCCCCAAAAAAAATTGATGGTCCATTCTTCCTAGGTAAGTAGGGGTAACACCTGCATCTGAGGTAATAGTAACCACAGTGTATTGTGCCTTCTTAGGTGTAAAACCTCAGTGGCAGCTGAAGTAACGTTGATTTTTTTTTTATTTCAAAGGCATGTACTACAGCATCTTAGAGGACAGAAGACTCAGTGTTGATGGTAAAAGTACAAGAAGAAGGAATGGAAAACAAGAAGAATATAATGTTGTAGATAATAGATTTTATATCTTTCTTGCCTGGCATAAATTAAGCCCTGGCAATGGTTATTAGAACCAGAAAGGAAACCTCAATAGCCTTTTTAATGCTAGGCATGGCTGTTGATCAATAATAGATTTTATAGTTTTCTGCCTGGCGTAATTTTAGCCATGGCGATGGTTCTTAGAACCAGAAAGGAAACTTCAGCAGCCTTTTTAAATGACCAGTGTGGCTGTTGATTGATTATAGATTTTATAGTTTTCTGCCTGGCATAATTCTGGCCATGGCGATGGTTCTTAGAACCAAAAGAAAACCTCAATGGCCCTTTTTAATGCTAGGTGTGGCTGTTGATCGATTATAGATTTTATACCTTTCTTGTCTGGCATAATTCTGGCCATGGCGATGGTTCTTAGAACCAGAAAGAAAGCCTCAACGGCCCTTTTTAATGCTAGGTGTGGCCGTTGATCTATAAAAGATTTTGTAGCTTTAGAGTCCCTGAGATCGAGGGGAGGAACATTTGCACGCCTGTTGCCAAATGTTCCTCAGAAGAGACACGGAGGAAGAAACAAAGGCGAAGAAAGAAAAAAGAAGAACCAAGACAGCAAGAAAATGTCTGCAGCTCAAGCCCTATTAGCCTTTGGCTGTGATGGCGCCTCCTACGCTGTGAGGTAAGTTGTATTCTTCAAAGTTTTATGATATGGAGGGAGGTCAATGGTCCCCCCCCCAAAAAAATTGATGGTCCATTCTTCCTAGGTAAATAGGGGTAACACCTGCATCTGAGGTAATAGTAACCACAGTGTATTGTGCCTTCTTAGGTGTAAAACCTCAGTGGCAGCTGAAGTAACGTTGATTTTTTTTTTATTTCAAAGGCATGTACTACAGCATCTTAGACGACAGAAGACTCAGCTTTGATGGTAAAAGTACAAGAAGAAGGAATGGAAATCAAGAATGAATACGATCTTGTAGATAGTTGATTTTATATCTTTCTTGGCTGGCATAAATTAAGCCCTGGCAACGGTTCTTAGAACCAGAAAGAAAGTTTCAATGGACCTTTTAATTCTAGGTGTGGCCATTGATTGATAATAGATTTTATTGTTTTCTGCCTGGTGTAAATTTAGCCATGGCTATGGTTCTTAGAACCAGAAAGAAAACCTCTCAGTGGCCCATTTAAATGACCAACGTGGCCAGTGATTAATCATAGATTTTATAGTTTTCTGCCTGGCGTAATTTTAGCCATGGCGATCGATCTTAGAATCAGAAAAAAAGTTTCAATGGACCTTTTTAATTCTAAGTGTGGCCATTGATGGATTATAGATTTTATACCTTTCTTGCCTGGCATAATTCTAGCCATGGCAATGGTTCTTAGAACCAGAAAGAAAGCCTCAACGCCCCTTTTTAATGCTAAGTGTGGCCGTTGATCTAGAAAAGAATTTATAGCTTTAGAGTCCCTGAGATTGAGGGGAGGAACATTTGCACCCTGTTGTCAAATGTTCCTCAGAAGAGACACGGCGAAGGAAGAAACAAAGGCGAAGAAAGAAAAAAGAAGAACCAATACAGCAAGAAAATGTCTCCAGTTCAAGCCCTATTAGCCTTTGGCTGTGATGGCGCCTCCTACGCTGTGAGGTAAGTTGTATTCTTCAAAGCTTTAGGATATGGAGGGAGGTCAATGGTCCCCCCCCCCAAAAAAAATTGATGGTCCATTCTTCCTAGGTTAGTAGGGGTAACACCTGCATCTGAGGTAATAGTAACCACAGTGTATTGTGCCTTCTTAGGTGTAAAACCTCAGTGGCAGCTGAAGTAATGTTGATTTTTTTTTTTTTATCTCAAAGGCATGTACTCTACACCATCCTAGAAAACAGAAGACTCACTTGTCAGCCTGCAGTGTTGATGGTGAAAAAGGAGGAAGAAGGAATGGAACGCAAGAATGAACATGATCTCCACCAAGAATGCTATTTCACCAATTATGTCAAAACTGACCTTTAGAACAATCGCTGAAAATGTAAGCCACTTTCATGATCACACCACACTACACATTTTAATCCTATCTGTGACCATTGCTACATAATAGGGATTCTCGTTTTCTTGCCTGTTGTATTTTTAGCCCATTCTAGGTGTGTTCCGTGATGTACATAAGATTCCATACTTTTCTTGCCTCCTTACTGTTAGGCCTGGCAATGGTTCTTAAAACCCAAAAGAAAATGTCTATGGCCCTTTCTATTGCTAGGCTTGGTCACTGATTATTAAAACAGTAATTAGTATTCTGGCCTAGTGTAATGTTAGCCACATCTGTACTTCTTAGAACTTGAGAAGGGCCACACAAGCATTCCACATGCCAATCCATCCTGTAAATAGTGATGACTCATTTTTAGAGGTCTTTCAGTCCCTGAGCTTGTGTGACACTCACACCGAATGGATGTGGATAATTATCGGCTCCCAGACTCACTCAGTCCATGAGCAGATACTTTCTGAGACTCACACTAGACGTCTCTCTCTTTCAGTCCCCGAGTGAGTAGCGAGGGCGAATCACACTGGAGGCGTCAACAGCCCTCAGCTGGAAGTCTCTCCCGGTCCCTGAGGCTCCCCAACTGAGTCTCAAACTGGAAGGGAATCCTTTTGGATCGCTTCCCTCACTGGTCAATGATGATCATGATCATTGCAGTCCATGAAACCAGAGAGACAAAAGAGATGCACTATTCCTGATTCCATCTGCACCGCCCCCCATGTTTAGGCATGGACCCTTGGTCACGCCTCCTTCGCCCCCTGCCACTCGCCTCAGCCCATTTACAGCCAGCTTTCCTCCTCCGTTGCCCTCCCGCAGCCATTCTCCACGGCCAGTGGACCCTTGGTCCTCTGCCCGTCGCCCTTCGGCCTGGACAATTCACCCAGACACCCTTTGTCCCGGGCCTTTGGCTATATGGGACAAATAGCCCCCAGCCATGGTGCTGCGGGGGCAGCATGCGATGAACAACCCCAGGGGCTGGGGAGGGCAGCTGTGATGCAAGATTTTTTTTAAAAAGTGCTCTGCTCTGCATGTTTTGGGGCCTTGCAGCTCTGACCCCAGAATCGGAAGGAGGGGGACTGGCAGCAGAAGTAGCAGCCACCGGGGCCACTGGGGGGAGCAGTCAGACAAGAGTGTGTTGGGGGAACGAGGGAGGGAGGGAGGGGCACCTCAAGGGGGCTTCACGAAGACAGCTTGACTCGCAACTCAAACGAAAGAGGGGAGGAGGAGAAAGGCCGGAGCAGCTTCTGCCACAGCCAGGGAGGCGGGTTAGGGGGGCACACAGGCAAACAGAGGGCTGGTGTGCTGCTGGAACTGGAGCGTCATGGGAGGGAAGCGTGGGCTAATGGGACTGCTTGCGCCTTGGGAGGGAAGGGAGGGCAACTGGCAAGGGCTGGGGCTGATGGGACTGCGTGCGCCGTCGTGGGAGGGAAGGGAGGGCAAATGGCAAGGGCTGGGGCTGATGGGACTGCGTGCGCCGTCGTGGGAGGGAAGGGAGGGCAAATGGCAAGGGCTGGGGCTGATGGGACTGCGTGCGCCGTCGTGGGGGGGAAGGGAGGGCAAATGGCAAGGGCTGGGGCTGATGGGACTGCGTGCGCCGTCGTGGGAGGGAAGGGAGGGCAAATGGGAAGGGCTGGGGCTGATGGGACTGCGTGCGCCGTCTGGGAGGGCTGGGGCTGAACTGCCCGTTGTGGGAGGGAAGGGAGGGCAAATGGGAAGGGCTGGGGCTGATGGGACTGCGTGCGCCGTCGTGGGAGGGAAGGGAGGGCAAATGGCAAGGGCTGGGGCTGATGGGACTGCGTGCGCCGTCGTGGGAGGGAAGGGAGGGCAAATGGCATGGGCTTGGGGGTTGGAACTGTGACCCGTCGTGGGAGGGAAGGGTGGGTAGAAGCCAAGCTGGCCTTGCTGTTTGCCTGTGTGCCCCCCTAACCCGCCTCCCTGGCTATAGCAGAAGCTGCTCCGGCCTTTCTCCTCCTCCCCTCTTTCGTTTGAGTTGCGAGTCAAGCTGTCTTCGTGAAGCCCCCTTGAGGTGCCCCTCCCTCCCTCCCTCGTTCCCCCAACACACTCTTGTCTGACTGCTCCCCCCAGTGGCCCCGGTGGCTGCTACTTCTGCTGCCAGTCCCCCTCCTTCCGATTCTGGGGTCAGAGCTGCAAGGCCCCAAAACATGCAGAGCAGCCACAGCACTTTAAAAAATCTTGCATCACAACTGCCCTCCCCAGCCCCTGGGATTGCTCATTGCACGCTGCCCCCGCAGCACCATGGCTCCTGCCTGCCACCCAGCTGGCTGTGGGCTATTTGTCCTGTACAGACAAAGACCCAGGACAAACGGTATCTGGGTGAATTGGCCGGGCCGAAGGGCGACAGGCAGAGGGCCAAGGGCCCACTGGCCGTGGAGAATGGCTGCGGGAGGGCAGCGGAGGAGGAAAGCTGGCTGTAAATGGGCACGGGTGAGTTGATGGGCTGCATTTCTTGGGCAAAAGGCTGCACTGCTGCTGAGGCCATCCTGACTCAGAGGTGATGCCAAGGCACTCCTGACAGGGGTCTTCCAGCCCCTGAGTTACTATTCTGTGAAACTCACACTGAATGAGTAGGCAGCCAGACGCTCCCAGGCTCGTCCAGCCTCTGAGCACACACTCTGTGAGACCCACCCTGGGAGGGCGACCCTTTCAGTACCTGAGTGAGCAGCCAGGGCGAGTCACACTGGAGGAGTCAACAGCGCTCAACTACAAGCCTCCTCCGGTGCCCTAGCTGAGTCTCAAACTGGAAGGGAATCCTTTTGAATCGCTTCCCTGAGAAATAATGTCAGCTGCAGCCAGATCTCTTGCAACCAAAAGTAAACCTGGTGACACACTTTAATACGAGGTATTGCCATCTCTACAAATTAATAACTAGTTTTTTGCTAGAGTGAAACATTATGTCCTTGAACTGGGAAAATAAATCTGTGTGACCCTTTTAAATTCTAGATGTGGCCATTGAAACCCTGAGTAGATTTCTTGCCTGGCTTAATTTAGGCACGATGGTCGTTCTTAGAACCAGAAAGCATCTCAATGGCCCTTTTTAACGCTTGGTGTGCCGGTGATTGATAATAGATTTTATAGTTTTCTGCCTGGCATAAATTTAGCCACAGCCATGGTTCTTAGAACCAGACAGAAAACCTCAACCGCTCTTGTTAATGTCTGGTGTGGCCAGTGATTGATAAAAGATTTCTATTTGGAATAATTTTATCCACGGCTGTTGTTTAAAATGTGTAAGTTATGTTTTGATTGATAAATATTAAACATGACACACAGTATGGCGGTCACCTCAAGAATTTTGATTTCTTTTGTCACACACATTTGTCTTTTTGTTCCTGAAATTTCGGTTTGACATTTATTTTTTGTAATACAACTGAGTTTTACTCCTGATTTACTGTTGTTAAGTAGTTGTGATGCTTATGGTAGACAAGTTTTATCTTTTACCTTTTTTTATGTATTCTTTCTTATCACCATCTCTTCACCAAGAGATACCTGTTGTGATATTTATGTATTTGAACACTGAAGTTGTGTTTTCTTTCTTCCGAGAAAAATCTTTTGATGACAACTATGGTTCCTTTTACACCTCACCTTTTGTCAAAAATGTCATTTTAAATTAGTGAACTATTTAACACATGGTATTTTATCATTGCTTTTGTAATTTTTGTGTGACTTTTTATCCTTAAAATATTGGATTATGCTTTTATGTATTTTATCTGTAAGACTGTATTATGTTTTGAATTGTTGTACAAACTGTTGCAACTGGGTAACGCTTGGAAGATATGATGCAGAACAATAAAGAATTTTTCGAGTCTTCCTTCACTATATTTGGGATCCTGTGCCGAAATCACCAAGGATCATCTTTTGTAAGGATTTGGGGGTTCTACCAAAATAAACTTCCAATGAAGTTTTTTGTGCTTTATATAACAAATGTTTTAGATTTCTCTCTCTCTCTCTCTCTCCCCCTCATCTATTATCTATCTCACCTATTAATCATCTATATCAGACATGTCAAGCACAATGCCCGGGGGCCGGATGCGGCCCGCAAAGTGGTTTCATGTGGCCCACGAAGCCATCCTGGAAACAGTGAGGGAGCCCGCTGTCTTGGCCCCAGCCGGCTGGGAGCGAATGTACAATTTTGTGGTGGCCATCTTGGTACTTGCCCCAGTGGACCATGCCTTGGCACTTGCCCCCGTCCCACCCCCTTCTGCCAGAGACCCTCAGATCTGTCCCATTCCTGCCCAGACCCCCACAGGCACCCTTGACGCGACTGGTGTAGAATTGGGCACGCCCACCCAGTAGGCCACACCCACTCTGGCCACACACCCCCAGCCCCCCCCCCAGCAACTGCAATGCTGATGCGGCCCTCAGTGAAATTGAGTTTGACACCCAATCTATATTGAATCTGTCCAGTAACCTTTTCTGCTGTACCTTGGGGAAAAAATGCCATGGACTTACCTGGCTACAGGAGGGCAGCATTCCCTGTTTTGCCCTCCTCAGTGCCCTATTAGAAATGAAATTTTAGCTTCTGCAATTATCTTTTGTATTCACAGCAGCCTCTTCTGTGGCTGCTTTGAGCTTCCATCAAAGGAAGGAAATGAAAGAATAAAAATAAGCCACTTCAGGGCTTCTTTGCTAAACGTTACAGCACACACTGGCCACAAGAGGGCAGACTTTGCTGCTTTGACTAAACTCAGTTTTATAGTTGTTTGCTTATTATGTATATTCCTTTATCAAAGGTGTACTCTGAGTGCCCCTAGGAGTCAGCAACCTGCAGCTCTGGAGCCGCATATGGCTCTTTGAGCCTTCCCCTGCGGCTCCCAGCCTCCTCTGCCATTTGCAGACAGAGAGAGAGGCACTTGTGCTTCCCCCCTCCTCTCTCTCTCTCTCTCTCTCTCTCTCTCTCTCTCTCTCTCTGTGTGTGTGTGTGTGTGTGTGTGTGTAAAAAAGAGAGTGGACTCACAGTGTTCTCCGACGAGCTAAAAAGCTTACTGGATGGCACTCCTCCTTTTGCTGCGTCTCTGCAGGAAGCAGGAAGGGCAGGAGAGAGCTAGCTAGCCCAGCTATGCTGACTCAGGAATTCTGGGAGTAGAAGTCCATGAGTCATAAAAGATGTTTTCGGTTGTAAATGGGTCCAAGTGGCTCTTCGAGTGTTTTGGGTTACCTACTCCTAGGGCCTAAGAAAAAAGCACTGAGTTGTAGGAATCATAACAAATCACCAGAATTCTTGATCGGTTTACGATGGAAGGTGTCCATGAGAAGGCAAACTTTCCTGCTTTTACCAGCTGGTCTTGGGGTGAAGAGAATCAAATCCTGCCACAAGACCTCCCAGTTGCTATTGGCACAGCCTCCTCAAAACAACACAACTCCATATTTTGAGCTGGAGCACAGGCTTGAACCAGAGGAGCCGGTCAAATTTCCCCCGAACCCTGAATTAACCACAAAACAACGGCTAAAAGGAGAATAATTTCTCCTTTCTGTTATGTTTTTCCTTCTAAACAGTGGAAGAAAATACAGTGAGCAATTGCTTTGGGAGATCAACAATAACAACAATAGAGTTGGAAGGTCTTGTAGTCCAGCAGGAAAGCCTATAGTACCATTTCAGACAAATGGTTGTCAAGTCTCTTCTTAAAAACCTCAGGCCCTACTCTTTCCTTGCCCAAAAGAGGGCAAAAAAGTCAGGCTTTCCCAAGATATGAAAGACTATGTTGTTATTTTAGGGGCAAAGTCATCAGAACGCAGCCTTAGGCAGGAATAGCAGCCACACAAGGAAATCAACCTTACCTGCCAACTTCCAGTCACACATGCGCAGTAGTCCTCCACTGTCTTACACACCGACCTCCCCGGGATGGCCAACTTCCTGTCCGTTTCTGTGGCCGTCCTTCCACTTCCATTCAGAACGACCTTCTCGGCATGGCCGACTTCCTGTCCCTAAGCAGGCGGCTGGATGCCGGTACGAGAGACTAGGAGGCTGGGTCTCTTTGTGCCCTTTCCACTTCAGAGGGAGAAAAACAAGAGGCCAAATTGGGAACATAGAGATACAGTTCATATGTTGGAAACATAAATTTCAGGGATTCTTTCTCAGGCTTAGTTGCCCCATCTGCATTTGTAAAATGGCCCCTGGGCCCCGTTTTACAGCCGGAGAGGGCAAGACAGGTTCAGGGAACAGAACAGTCGGGATTTTGAGGTTATTCTTTTGCATCTGTATTATTAGAAGCCTTGATATTAATAATTATAGAGCAGGGCTTTTCAACCAGTGGTATGTGTACCACTTGTGGTACTTTGCCACATGGCCTGTAGACCGTGATTGCAAGTCAAGTGTAGTAGGGGAGGGGAATGAGCCTATCGTGGCTTATTAATATTAATAAGGTTTTAATAATAAAGAATAATCATCATCTTAAAACGCCATTAAAGAGGTTTATTTATTTTTGTGGCTGCAGTATCTGATTTGACAGAGTTTTCTGTCCCTTGGCTATAGGATGGAGGCCATTAAAAAAAGCCTACCATGGACTCCAAGCTAAAGCTATGAGACGGGAAAGTGTGCCCTCTTCTGGTCAAAAACGGGTATTGTGGCCACCAAAAGAAATAAACCTTTTTAATGGCATTTTAAATTCTCTATCTTTATTAACAGTATTAACACCTTATTAATAGGGCCAGGGGAGGCCCGTTTGCTGCAACGCAGGCGCGGAAGAAGAAATCTGCTTCAAAAGCCTTAAATCTAGTTAAGGAGGACTATGATGCCCTATTAATATTAATAAGGTTTTAATAATAAAGAATAACCTTAAAATGCCATTGAAAAGTTTTTTTTTTAATTTTTATTTTTAACCAACAAAACAGAACAAAGCAAAACAGAACACACATACACATACAATATATACTCTTTTTTTACAGCAATTACGTAACAGTAATCTAATATTTACATTTCCCCCTTATTCTTCTTTAGAATATTTGTCCTTATAGCCCCATTATTTCTTATTTACATTTTTCTTCCTACATGTTCTACTTCTTACTAAGAATAATTCATATTATTATACATTATTATAGACATATTTTCACTTTTGACCTTTCCATATTTATTCTCCTCTATTGAAAAGTTTTTTAATGGCTCCTCTACCTGCTTCAACCACAGGATGGCACTGTTTTTTGACCCTTAATAGCATTCAATAACTTCAATAGATAAATAATAATAATCTTAAAATCATATTAAAAGGATTTATTTCCTTTTGTGACTGCTATTCCTTCTTTAACCGTAGGACTCAATTCTTCCCAGAGGGCTTGACCGCTTTAGTCTCAATAAATAACTTCCCCTCTCCCAGGAAACAGGCGATGGGAGCATAAGGGGGCCTCCTGTGGACTTTCCTCACTGTTTTTAAATATCCCTAGGCTACACCCAACCTAAGCAAAGCAGTTACCAACAGAATAAGAGACGTGGAGTTCCAGCTAGAACTTAACAGAATCTCTCTCTGCAGCAAGAAAATGGATTAAATGGGGTATGTGGGGACCAGCAAGGTATCTGAAAGACCTGAGCTTTCCTAAGAGAGGAACCCTACCTCCTGCTATTTCCCACCAAAACTGCAATATTTAGAGGAGCGGGGGTAATCGCAACCTCCCACCGTGTTTCCCACTGCCTCTTGCGCTTTTTACTGGGCTCCCAACCTTCCTCCAGTTCCATCCCCGTCTTTTTAAAAGGAAAAGCCTTAATCTCACTGAAGCTGGCAAAAAGGGGGGGGGGGGGAATCCTCAAGAACAACTTATCTGTTTTCCCCCAGTTCCTTCTTAACAGCCACAGAAAGGGGGGGGGGGTCACCCATTTGGCAGAGGGAGCGTGACCTCCTTTCTCCACTGCCTTTTCCAAAAAGGCTGAAGCTTTCAGCCGGCAGGCCTTTAGAGGATTGGTGTCCCCACCCTTCCTCCTGGCCCACATGGCTGCTACATCAGTCAATGCAGCTGTGACTGGGGGAGGTTAGCAAAATTGCAAGCCAGACTCTGCAAAGACCCGGGTCTCCTACTGCCCCCAGAGAGACCTGCTTTTCCTTTCTCGTACCTCTGGGCGATGGGTGGGTTGTTTACGGCAACCTGGAGAGGAAAGGAAGGAATCTCCTGCCCTTCCTAACCCTGACTTGCTTTGGACGAAGGTCTACAAAGTTAGATGGACGGCGAACAAAATAATAAAAGCCATTAGTTGCAACTTCTCACGTCTCATCCCTTTTAGCCATCCTTTAAATGATAAACCTATAAGGGAACGATAGGTTATATACATTTTCAAAATAAACTACATTTATTTTTATATTGATCGTTTCTTAATAAAAATGCACACAATTTCAAATAGAGATTTGATATTGCACCTATATTAATACATAGGTATCTCTAAGAAATATAGTTTAGAAACATCAAACCTAAATACAAACCTACATAAGTACGATCTCCTTAAAGAAATAGCAGGGCAGGACATCTTAGGGGAGAGGACCAAACGAGTGGCCGGAGTGGAGGCGGGGGAGGTGGAAGGTGGTGATCCCCCGCTAACTAGGTAACAGAGAAAACCGGTATCTTTCGGGAATCTGGAAATGCGGGGATGACTCGGCTCACCTGAGCCAGTAGCAGGCTTCCTTTTTTCCTTCCTGCGTGCGCTCCGTCAACGTAGTGCAGAATAGAGGACGGGAAAAAGCAGGGAACCGTGCTGCGAACGGACAGGAAGTTGGGGACGGCCTCGGCGAATGGACAGGAAGTCGGACGTACTGGGAACGTCGTCGTCGGTGGTCATGCTACGGGACGGAAAACTGTGCCCTCCTGTGGTCGAAAACGGGTATTGCGGTCGCCGAAAAAAATAAACCTTTTAAATGAGATTTTAAGGCTATTTATCCCCCCCGTTTTTATTATTAACCCCTTATTAATATTAATAGGGCGGCGGGAGGCCCTTTTGCCATTTTAACGGTTTATTTCTTTTGGTGGCTACTATACCCGGCATGGCCACGGGAGGGCACTGTTTTCCCTCCCTTAGCGATAGCGGCATTGAGGCCGTGGAAAAGGCCTACGATGGCCTCGATGGTAATGCTATGGGACGGGTATTGCGGCCGCCAAGAGAAAGAAGCCTTTTTAATGGGGTTTTAAAGGCTTACCTCGTTGATCCGACGTGGAGTCGGCCGTGCCCAGAAAGTCCGCGCAAAAGGAAGTTGAAGGATGACTAAGAAGGACGGACCGGAAGTCGGCCATATTGGGAAGGTCGCAATTCAAAGACCCTGGAGGACGGCGAAATTGAGCGGACAGGACGTCGGCCATGCTGAGGAGGTCTACCCGAAAGGAAATAGGGGGAAAGATTAAGAATGAAGGAACGGAAGTCGGCCATGATGGAAAGGTCCTTTTACCGCAGCACCTGGGGGACGGCCGATACCGACGGACAGGAAATCCACCCTGCAGAGAGGGCCTCTCGGACATTACTCGTGAAGAACCAGCCGGCGGACATGCGCAGAAGACCGAGGGAAGCGGCCCGTCCCTTTCGGAGGAGCATAGAGTGGCGACCCTTTGGCTGGCGCTCTGCGCTTTGGGGCTTATCTTCTCGGTGTCCCGATCCTGGGCAAGTGGCCTACGACGGCCTCCCTGGTAATGCTATGGGACGGGAAACACTGCCCTCCTGTGGTCAAAAACGGGTACTGCTGCCGCCCAAAGAAATAAATACTTTTTAATAGCATTTGAAGCTTATTCTTCTCTATTTTTATTCTTAACGCCTTATGATTAATATTAACGTGGCGACGGGGGGGGGGCCCGGTCGGTGCCACACGGGCGCAGAAGAAATCCTGGTTCCAATCTTAAACCGAGTTAAGGCCTATTGTGGCTTATTCATATGAATAAGCTTTTAATAATGAAGAATAATCATCTTAAAACGCTATTAAAGAGGTTTATTTATTTTTGTGGCTGCAGTATCTGATTTGACCAGTTTTTCGTCCCTTAGCAGGGCTGGCTCAGGAATTCTGGGAGTTGAAGTCCACCAGTCATCAAAGAGCCAAGGTTGCCTTACCCCTGCCTTAGCTATAGGATGGAGGCCATTAAAAAGGCCTAGGATGGACTCCCAGCCAAAGCTATGGGACAGAAAACTGTGCCCTCCTGTGGTCAAAAATGGGTATTGCGGCCACCCAAAGAAATAAACCTTTTTAATGGCATTTTAAAATGACGGTATCTTTATTAACGGTATTAACACCTTATTAATAGGGCCAGGGGAGGCCCGTTTACTGCAACGCAGGCGCGGAAGAAGAAATTGCTTCAAAAGCCTTAAATCTAGTTAAGAAAGCCTAGGATGGCCTAATATTAACAAGGGAGTTGAAGTCCACGAGTCATACAAAGAACATATGGACTGCTATCCAATTTGGAATTTATTTTATTCTTGGTTAGAGCAAAGAATGAAGGATTAGGAATTGAACATCTATGAGCTTAGCAAACTCCAGGCAACCTGTGGACTGGAAAAATTAACACATGTTGATGGAAAAAATTAATAAAAAAGATTGATACAGGAAGTCCACGAGTCATAAAAGAGCCAAGGTTGCCTACCCCTGCCCTAACCGTAACCCTAAAACCCTAACTCTAACCCTAAAGCCCTAACCCTTTGACCTGACCCCTTGATTTTTGACCTGACCCCTCAACCTTTGACCTTCTTGCCCCAAAAGAGGGAGAAAGACAAATGCAACACAGCTACTGAAGTTGCCCCTGTGCTCGGAAAAACAGTGCTGACTCGATAGGACCCAAAATGCTATCGGAACCACCCTGGGCTTCATCTGCCTCCCGCTTGCCGCAAAGCTACCCGCTTACCTGTCTCGCACCTCCTTTCCGTTTTGGATTCTGTTGCTAAGATGGCCCTGCAAGTCCTTTCTGACTAACACCACCACCACCCCGGCCACAAAGGAAAGCATTAGGCCCGTAGGAAAGGGCCTTGTCTGCACAGCTAACTGGACTGTGCGACGGGACCCTGGAAGAACAAGGTAATCTTGCATCTCTTTGACTGAGCTTCGACCTGAAACCTATCCTGATGCTTAATTTGAACTGATTTCAATGGCATAAGGTTACTCCCGTTTCCCCTTGATGATTTAAAAAACAAAAGTACCGCTGTTGCAAGCAGGCGCCGTTACAGTTACGCTTTTGTGTGTTTTATTTTAAAAGGGTGGACAGCAATTAACACTAACCATTTTCAAAATCTGGTTTACGGTTATGTTTATTCCTAGAGTTTAGTACGCTAAGGTTTAAGATGTAAACTATGTTTATAGTTATTTCTAACTTTACATTGGGTATGTTTGTTTCTAAGTTATTTTATATCTCGGCAGCTTTTGTTTCTTCTACCATTAAAGTGCTTCATAAAACGCTAACACTGTAATCTACAAACCACGTTAATGCAATTGAAATCGCTCTTAAAATTACACAAGAGGATTGCTCAGAAATCAAAAGCTCGGCCAAAGAGATGCATTCTTACCTTGTCTCTGAATGTTCCAGCTAGAACTTAACAGAATCTCTCTCTGCAGCAAGAAAATGGATTAAATGGGGTGTGTGGGGACCAGCAAGGTATCTGAAAGACCTGAGCTTTCCTAAGAGTAGAATAGACATTTTAATATCCTCTCCTTGGCACTCCTGCAGGGCAGGAATGATAAAACCCCAAGACTGAGTGAAGGTGTACTTGTGGCAGTGGGGAAGTTGAAGATCTCTCTCACACATGTGTCCTGTTAGTCCAAAGCCAAACATTAAAATCAAAAGCTGTTCTTTGGATCTGAAAAATATTTCCTTTAATTGTATGCATTGTACTGTGAGGAATTTGTGGGAATGAAGGGGGCAGGAGGCGGGGCTTAGAGTCTAATGTTTCTGCTCAGTTCTTGCCCTTTATGTCAAACGCCCAGAAATGTGAGAAGGGGCTTCAGAAAAGGCCGTCAGTCTGTGGGTTCTAGGACTGACTCACTCAGAGCCTAGATCCCAATAATGCTCAGTGCCGTGTTTCTTAAAATGCTCCCGTGCCATGTTTTCAGCAGCACACTGCTTGAACTTCATCTCGCCACAGCTCTGCTCCTTTGCCGTGCCCTAGAAGGACACAGAGAGAGGCAGGAGAGATTCTGAGCCAGCCTACGTATCGAGGGTTGCATTGCATGGATTGGAAGCTTGCGTAATGCAGACAATTCCTCTTTCCTTGCCCGTGGCTTACTGGTGAAGCCCTGCGGGTTGAAGTAACTCTTTAGAGTGAGTCCTGACATCTCCCACTTTTTGAATTAAAGAGGAGGGGTGCTCTGAAGGGACCATTGTACAGAGTACCCACAGTTCAGTTCCTGAAGGTGTTTCTCTGTCCTGTCACTAAGGGGGCATAATCAAAACCAGGACTTTCTTAGTGATGCTGGGAATCACCAAATGCCTCAGTTAGACCATAAATATTACTCACCTCCCAAACCAGGGAACATTTGTTGGTTTTTTTTCACAGATTCCTCATCATCTGCAAGAAAAATAAACTGCTTAGGGTGTAAGAATGGGGAAACAACTGAAGATGGATTTGTCTGTTCAAAAGTACACTCAAGATCGGTCAGATCGGAAACATCCTTTATTCAAACAGAAGGTGAGAATTCTGCCCTTCCTTTAGAAAAGGCAGGATATAGACCTCTGCAAGCTCAGTAGCTCATGAAAAGAAGCGAACCTCAGTAGCTCATGAAAAGAAGCGAACCTGGAGGTTTGTTTGGAATGGTATAGGCTTTCCTGCTTGAGCAATAGGTTGGACTAGAAGACCTCCAAGGTCCCTTCCAACTCTATTAATCTGTTCTGTGAGATACTCTACTACTCTCTTTCAGTTTCAGTTTGCCTTGGGTAACTTGGATACATCTATGCAATTTTCTTACAGGACTGCTTAAATTAGCTTCCAAATAAGGTCAGAATCTCACACAGAAAATCGTTAGTATTAATGAAACACAAGTTGTCCCTTCACAAACTGATTCATATTCTCGTTCTTTTATTTCCACATGGTGGAACTTTAATTTTTCCCTTTCAAAGTTCTTGTACACACAGGAACTACAGAAGTTGCGGTTGTGACAACTAATTGACCTGGTCAAGAGGTAAACAGTTCAGTTCTCCTATAAAATAAAATGCATTTTAACAGCAGAATGGAGTATAAAAATAATTCAGGGTAGAGTTTAAAATTTAATGCCACGTTGTTAAACTAAATAAAACATGCTTTAAGGATTTATTGGCAACAATTCTATTGCACTATGAAACCAAAACCTAATTAAAAAGCACCAAGATAAATGGATGTAGTACATTTTCAAGACATTTTTGATCTAATGCGGTCGATTCAAATCATTTGATTTCCATAAAGACTGAGAAACAAAGCTTCACAATGTTGCTTTCTGGGTTCTTCACCAATACAATAAATACCACACCTCTTTCTAAACAGGTGGTTGGAGTGGATTATAACTGGATTCAAATCCGAAAGCAAATCCAGTTCTTGATTGAATAAAAAAGGAATAATTACATGAATCGATCTATGTATTTCTTTTAACTCACTACCTTTCATTTATAATATTATGGAGTTAAGAACACAGTACCAATGATTTTGACAATTAAGCTCTGGAAACTTACACATGCACATAAAGTAGGTATTTAAATGTGAGCAAAACTCACAACTGATAAAGGAGCCTCTCCTAAACTGAATCCATCGTGTGAGTACTTAACGTTTTTAATTCTTTTAGCACCCATCAGTTTACCAGATTGCATACGAAAGAGAAGCAAAGGAACATTGCTACCATTTTGCCTCTTTGCCAGGTCTGTGCCTCTGGAAACAACAAAAAGCCACAGAAAGACGCAACATGATATACTTCTGAAGAGAGAGTCTGTTTGGGAGGTAAACGTAAGATGCATGTTCTGAATTGATGGTGCTTTTCCTAACAGGGCACAAGCAGCCTTTTCTAATACAAATTCATTTATCAATATTGGTTTGCAGATAATAAGGTGGAAATGTGATCCCAGAGTGAGAAGATGTAAATGGACAATCAAGATATTGATAAGTGGACTGTTGGACTACATTAGGCCTGAATTGCTGTCCTTAATCTTTGCCTTGTTTATACTAAAAATAAGTATAACGAAGTGAGAAACTGCATTTGCCACAGAAAACAGCTTAACCATTTTCTCCCTATATCACTTTACAGGAACTATTTTTTCCTATTTGCATTAAAGAAAGTGCCTTTAAAAAATGTGCATTTTTAACCCTATGAACTCAGTCATACAAGAAGACCTAAAACAGGGGGTCTCCAAACCTGGCCCTTTTATGACTTGTGGACTTCGACTCCCTCTCAGCCTGGCTGAGGATTTCTGGGAGTTGGAAGTCCACAAGTCATAAAAGGGCCAAGTTTGAAGACCCCTGACCTAAAAGAAAGTTTTGATAGCTCCCCAGGCTGAGTCCAACTATTGTGCTACCAAATGGTTCTGTATAAAATCTTTAAAATATCAGAGAGCTGAAGCAGCATGAATTTCACTTGTCCAATGCCCAAAGTTGAGAGAGAAAGCCAAATGAACAATTGCAGTGCTTATTATGCTCAACTGGTTAAAAATGTTGGCTTTGAAGTCCTAGATTTAATACCTACTGTGTTGATTCCAATTTGAACTACTCAAAATACATTTCCATCTAAACCTCTACTTTGATCACAGCGATTGAAGTGAGGAAGAGATGACCACCAGCTTCTGAATACTTGAGGATATATGCATGAACGAAGGGTAGAGTTAAATTATTTCTAAAGATCAGAAGGCAAATAACCTGTCAATATTTAATGATTTAACAGCTATGTAAAGATGTAATGTAAGGTGGTTGATGCAATAAAAGGATGATGCAATGATAGGAATGACTCAGCAGAATCTGTGTCTGTGTCCCTTTAAGAGTAAGCAGGGACTATATCCCTTTAAGAGCCTGAGTATAAAAGGGATTTTTTTTGCTGGAGTTTCTCTTCTCATCCATTTGACTGCTGTAATTGCTGTATATTGGAGTTTGCTGAATTATCACTACGTGTATGTATCTTATTTCTAGTGTGTATTTGTAGATAGTGTAATATAAACCACCATTTATACAAACAACTGTTTACTGTATTTACTCCTGGGTTACCTCAGTGCAATAAAACCGCATGCTCTGACTTCTTCCTAGCATATTCAATCACTTGGATGAAATAGCTGGTCACAATCAGTAGTGCAGGATTAAACAACTGATTGCTTGGTAGAGCCAATGGAGCGTTCTAATTGTAGTAAGTTGGACAAGATATTTTTTGTCACACTAACTGTCTAATGTCCATGCAGTCTCATCTTCGGGCACTTCGTTTAAAGACTTGATTTTGCTGCTTAAAAACGTCGAATTAAAAACCATGGTGAATTTATGCCTGAGAATCCTGGTGAGTTTTCTCATTTTTACAAAACTGAACAAGCAAAAGGCAACCAAATTATGTCAACCGGATAGAATCTCCAAATCCAGAAAGAAAATTTGGACTTCGCTGAAATATCCAGACTCTCATCCGGGCAGCTGGTTGACCGAATCCTTTCCCCGTCTTTAATTAGATTTGCTTTCTCCTTTTTCTTCAACAGCATCCATTTCTGTCAGAACACAGTAGCAAAGTAACTGAGTGGATCGGGTGACAGCACCTGAAGGAGGAGGAGGAAATTTGAGAGTGAATCATCTAATTATGAAAGATTACTTCAAAATCTAGTGGCTTGCTAAACCAAGATTGACTTTGGGACCTCTTAGAACAGAGGATGGTTCTGTTTGTATGGATCTTCTTCAAGTCCAATCATCCAATTTAATCTTTCCATAAGATGTGGATGCCGTATTTTTTTTCCTTTAGTGACAATGTCTGCTTATCTGTTGAGCAGATATTACAACAGCCAAACATTTAACTGCTTGCAAAAAGGACAGAATTTCTCTATATTCTACCACCAACACAAGTTCCCCTGAGATGAACATTATTGCTTCCTCTGCTGACAAACACTAAATTTAACAGCGGATGTGATCTTTCCATCTGCACAAAAATCTATGGACCCAACCATACTGTTTCTTGCTTTCTTCGCTTTGTCAAAATGCTGGGACATCTGCTGAAAGTCAAGGTCTAAACCTCCAACTTAACATCTCCAGGACAATTTAAATGCAGAGCATCTCATTTTAGTCAGATGAAGATTTGGGAAACGGCCAGTTACTCTGGAAGGAGAGGTCAAGCCGGGAACTAGCTTGGAATTGTTACACAGCTGCAGGTGTAATAAGCTTGACCTCCCCCAAGTTCCATGAAGGGATCTGGTCATTCCCAGCGGTAGGTAAGAAGTCTGGGGAGATTCTTGTAATAGAGGTAGAAAGCAATAAAGTTGATTACAGAGCTGTTTCTGATTGGCTCTGACTGTTTGCACCTGACATAAATGGCAAATTTAAGCTGAAGACCTTTACTAATAAGTGTAAATTTTCTTAAACCCAACTCATAACTACTCTTCTCCAAAGTTTTTCTATTGTTATAGTTGCGTAGAAGATAGGAAGAAGCTAAAACATCCTTATTCACATTTACTACTAAAACAAAAATAAACAGCCGTAAGGCATGGAATGGTATGGAAAGGATGGCCCATGGAAAATCCCATCATTCAGTGCAGTTCACTAAGACCTTAATAAAAGCTAATCAGCCGGGGGTTGGAATAGAAGACCTCCAAGGTCCCTTCCAGCCAATTATTCTAACCTCTATGGAAATGATCCTTACCTAAGATTTTGCTGACCAATGGTGGCCTTTTGGAAACAGGCAAGTAGACCCCCATGAAGTAGACTGGAATCCCAGAGAGTGCAATTCCAATGCCAATAAGAGAATTAACGGTGTCACTATAGAGTGGCACAACCACTAAAAAAATCGAGCACATACAGAAAACGATTGGGAAAAACAGGCTCAGCTGGAAAACAGAAAACACAGCACTGAATAAGGAGGAAGAAGTGTAAGAAGCCATTTTCCAAATTACAATTTTTCCCATAGTCATTAGAGGAAGTCCTCAACTTACTTTGAGTGCTTTGAAAGTCATTGAATTCAGTACTCAACACATTGTAATAGTAATAGCAATAGCATTTAGACTTATATATCACTTCATAGTGCTACACAGCCCTCTCGAAGCGGTTTACAGTATTTCGCCCCCAACAATTTGGCTCCTTGTTTGACTGACCTCGGAAGGATGGAAGGCTGAGTCAACTGTGAGCCAATGAGAATCGAACTGCCAAACTGCTGGCAGCCGGCAGTCAGCAGAAATAGCCTGCATTCTGCAATCTAACCACTGCGCCACCATGGATCATAATGTGCAAATTTTGTCCTGGTACTCCTTTGTTTGGTATTCAATGCACAAACTAGAACTTGTCAGACTCACTGCCCTTTCCAGTTTGGTTGGTACTAATCGTTTTTGTTTCTCCCAGAACCAATTAATGACGAGTAACGTGGTACCCCTCTAGTCCTAATCTCTTTGCAGAAAAATCAGTGATTGCTTTTATATAAATGATGGGTTTAATCTTGTGTCATTCCTACCTTGAGTGGTCGATACCGATCCGGTTGCTTCCAGCGGAGGTAGAGCTGTCCAGCAATGGACAACCCGACAAAGAACCAATAGCTGAAACTGAAGTAGTTAATAAGCAGAAAGACATCTTCTACAGTCAAATAGATGAGGGTCATAGTACACTGTTAGAGAAGATAAGAGAAAGGCATGAAAAATTCCAAGCACAACGTTTTCTGAATTCTACACAGCAGCAGCACTTTGGCTGACTTACTCTTTTGGCAGTCAGGTCACTTTGGGGCTAAAAACATTTCATGCAGGTGGTCCTCGACTTACAACCATAATGGTTGTAAGAGGCATTATGACTGCAGAGAAAACAAGCTTTGGCAGTTTTCTGGCATCAAACCCTGTCACTTAAAAGTCTTCTACAGTGTGAAATGAGTATAAGGGACTGAATTATTATTTCTTTTAATGACCCTGTAATCCAGGGGTCTTCAAACATGGCCGCTTTAAGACTTGTGGACTTCAATTCCCAGAATTCTGGGAATTGAAGTCCACAAGTCTTAAAGGGGCCAAGTTTGGAGACCCCTGCTGTAATCCCTTGCATTGGGGTGGAGTCGGGGTGACTGAAGAGAGCGTGAGAGTTTACTGGCCGGATGCCCTTCCTGAGGCCTACGTGGAGTTTGCATTGCGCCCAGAGAGAGAAAGATCTGCCGCTGCCTAGGATCGAACCCACAGCCTCCTGATTGTGAAGCGAGAGCTCCACCTGAATAATCGCGGTAAATTAGCTTACATTGAAAAGAAGAGCTGGGACGGGTGTAAACCTTCCAATATGGATCATGGATAGGAGGTCAGGCAGATGACCTTCCCGGGATCCTACAAAGAAGAGCCTGAATAAAAGAGACAGCATGCTTAATATCCTAGGCAGTATAAAACTAAGAACAGTCTGCAAATTCTCTCCCCATGCTTTCTATTAAACAAAGTGAAAGTTATCTGTCCCAACAGTCAGAAAATTCCATTTAGAGCATTGTTTCTCAACCTTAAAGATGTGTGGATCAACTCCCAGAATTCCTCGGCTAGCCTTATTTAAAATAATACATTTATGCTGGGTGGTGGCGAGGAGGGGAGGGAACCGAAACCGAGAGAAACGACATTGAGAATAGGGAATAGATACAAAGCACAGGTTGTGCCCCCAAACAGCTTTGTGGTTCTCAGCACAAGAGTCCTTTTATAGAGAGAAACAATAGACAACCACAAATGGCGACTCCAGCAGGCCTTAGGGATGGGGGATAGTTTCAATTATCTCCTTCTGCAATGGGATTAAGCAGGAGATAATTAAAGTCATTTGTTTGTCTCTTCACTTGTTTTATCACTAATTCTTATGGTTTTGATCCTGGATACATACAACTGATATAGCAGATGTTTAAAATCATCATTAATGAGAATGGGATATAAACTTAAGCGGATAAACAAATGGGAAATGATATGACGCATTTCTCATTTCAGATAAACAGAAACTGTGCTTGGAAAGTTTTAAAAATCAAATCGGAAACTAAATTACATGTAGTCCTCAACTTACATCCACAAGGCAGCCCAAAATTTCTCTTGCTAAGCAAACAGCGATTAAATGAATTTTGCCCCATTTTACAACTTGTCTTGCCACAGTTGCTAAGTGAATCACTGCAGTTGATAAGTTAGTCACATGGTTGTTAAATGAATCTCACTTCCCCATTGACTTTGCTTATCAGCAGCTCGCAAAAGGGGATCATGTGACCCCGGGATGCGGCAACCATCATAAATACAAGCAGTTGCCAATGGTCTGAATTTTGATCACGTGACCCTGGGGAATGCTGTAAAGGTCGTAAGTGTAAAAAATGGGCGTAAGTCATTTTTTCAATGCAGTTGTAACTTTAAATGGTCACTAAATGAACTGTTATAAGTTGAGGACTACTTGTATATCTTCAATAAGCTTAGACATAGGACGTCCTTGTGGTTAGGGGTACACAGCTTTAAGTATGCGAAGGCAAAATTAATTGTTCTTTTACCTGGATGAGGCTAAAATAGAGGCATTCAATCCTCCAAAACAGGACAAGGCAACCGCTATTGGAATGGTCCAGCTGAAAATCCCAAATACTTGGTCAGCAAAGGTCTAACAAGAGAGAAGAGAAAAGGGAGGAAAAATTAGAATGCATTTAACATGCACTGGAACAGAGATTTCAAAATGTTAAAAGGTTCAGGAAGTTTGCAGCCGGTCTCTGTCTGTCTGTGTCTGGCACTGAAGTTCAGCTGCAGTCCAACAATTTCAGAAACAAATTTCAGTCTGAATTTATTGTTGGGAACACCCGACGCATAGAAATCATTGCACACATTCTGTGCAGATTAGATTGCTATACTAGTCACCTTCTCTTTTCTCGTAAGCAATATTCCAAATTACCCATTTGCCCCTGAATAACGTTAAATTGAATAATATGTGAGAATAATTTTCTGATACCTTGCTTAGAGAGAGAGAAAACAGTTAATCTTTTTCCAAGAGATACACTCGGTATAAAACTCCCTTTTTATATATATTGTCCCTAATTACTTTAAAAATATGAATCCGGGTATGTTTATGCTTTCCTAATCCACTTTTTTATTTTGTTCTACTCTCTTAACCCTACATAAGATATATCTTGAACGTTTTTCCCATCATGATCAGCTGAAAAGTAAACTATTCAGTTTCTCACAAATGCATGTATTTACCACAGTAGCAGTATTTGGTATCAGTCTCTGCAGATCTGGTTTTTTTCATCTCACCCCTAGACCTAACGGACTTTAAATCCCAATTTAATGCAAATATAGTCATTCTGTGACTGCCATCCAACGTATACACCTTATCCATAACCCAATGACTAGCAAACTACCACAAGCAACTTTCTCACCATCAGTAATACTCAATAACTTTTTTTCCTGCAATTTCCAGAACACCCCAGCTGTCAAGCTCAGCGTCTTTAACCACTGAGCCATTGGGTTCTCACCCCCCCACATCTCAAAGTATGAATGGACAAATATGTACATACTGGAACTCACGAAACAAGAGGTATTTGGTGAGTTACTGAAACACATGGTTCTTGCTAAATTAAATGGAGAGAATCACAGAAAATACTGTCCTAGAATAGCAATGTACACAGAGAAAACTGCAGCCAGGACAGCTGGTTGCTTAGTAACTGCTTGAAGTTATGATGGATCTCCTCAAAAGGAACTTATAAGCTGGTTTCAAAATTCCCAATATCACCCTCCAACTATCTGGCGACCGTTTGCAGCTGGTTGCAGCACTTTGTGGTTATTTGGCCACAATTTAGGGTGTTTTGCCAGAAACACGGCCTTCGAGTTTCCGTCAAAAATCCAGCCCGTAGCAAACCATGGGCTCATTTAACAACTAGGGGGTTTACTTTAACTGCAGCGTTGACTTAATGACTGCTGGAAAAAAAAAAACATCGTACATTCGGGTCTAATCACGTGGGGACCCGTTTTAAAATTGTCACGGCTTACAACTGTAATTGCTAGGCTTCAATTCTGGTCACGTCATTATATTCGCTGAGCAAAGTTCAGAATTAGGAGTGGCAACAGGGTGGAGATAAATGCTGTTATCCTCAGTGATCTAAACATGTCTGAGCTCATGATAAGCACCTGAGCATCCCTTCCACAGATGTTCCACCCACTCAGTCTTTATTTATTTTTCCTGCAGACAGATGAATCCCTGATAACCGATGAAGAATTCCTAGGTGCAGTAAATAAGAAGTTGGTGCTGATCACAGGCCTGTCCGTTGGCAGTATGACAGATGGGTCTCCCTATCTGTAGGATCTGTACTCAACGATTCACATGTTTACGTTCACGGTGGTGACTGGAACCTAAGCCGTACGATGAACAGTTATGGGAACTGGGAGTATCTAAGCTAATGAAGAGAAAGACTAGGAGTCACATGATAGCACTCTTCCAGTACTTGAGACACTGTCAGAGAAAACATAAAGCAGTCCCTGCAGATTTTATTCTGCTAGTCATTGCTGATTATAGGGGGTGATGCTCATCTCCGTTTCAAGGCCATTGAGCCAAACACTGTCCAAAGACATTTCCATGGTCAAGTGACCAGCATGACATCATGGAGTGCTGTTATCTGATCACCGAAGTGGTATCTATGTATCTTCCTGCATCTGCATGCTTTTGAATTACTAGTTTGGCAGGAGCTGGGGTGATGATGGGAGCTCATCCCCTCACATGGCGCTCAGGTCTCAAACCGGACTGCCGGCTTTTCAGCCAATAAGCCCAGCATCTTAACCACAGAACCACCATGCTGTCCTATCATAGAAAAGAGGTGGTAGATTTAATTTCCAAAGCACCTGAGGACAGGGTAAGTATAATGGATAGAAAAACATCAAAGAGAGATTCAACCTGAAAATAAGGAGGACAGTGAGAATAATTAATCAGTGGAATAGCTTGCCTCCTGGAGTTGTGGGTGCTCCATTGCTGAGGGTTTTAAGAAAAGTTTGGACAGCCATTTAACTGGGGTGGTATAAGGCTCCTGCTTTGAGCAGGGGGTTGGATTAGAAGACCTTCAAGGTCCCTTCTAGTCCTATGATTCTACATCAGGGGTTCTCAACCTTGGCAACTTTAAGACTTGTGGACTTCAACTCCCAGAATTCTGGGAACTGAAGTCCACAAGTCTTAAAGTTGCCAAGGTTGAGAACCCCTGTTCTACATGCTACTTCCAACTTGGCTAACAGAAATGCAGAAATACTCCTCAAGAATTTCCTGCGAGTGACAACAATGTCTTGCCTCCAGAAGTTGTGGGTGCTCCATCACTGAATTTTTAAAGAGGAGACAGGACAGCCATTTATCTGGACTGTTAGAGGGTCTTCTGCTTGAGCAGGGGATTGGACTACAAGACCTCCAAAGTCTCTTCCTAACTCTGTTATTCTGTATTTATCATACTAAAAAAAATAGCTGCTCTTGCCTGCATTCACTCTGAGGCCGGGTGGCTTTTAACCTCTATCTTTTTTAGGAAACTTTTGCTCATCCAATGCATTTGAGCCGCCAAGTTTATTTATTTTATTCTGCCTGAGATGCATTTCATATCGAAATACAAATTCTAATTTCTGAGGGTTACCAAAGTATCTCTGCTCTTATTCAGAAGAAAAATGGGGACTCTTGAAACAGAAACGAATACTCTTAATACATTAATACCTCAACTAGAATTTAAAGGTGCAACTTAAAGGAAGTCACAACATTAAGGAACAGATTAAATAGAACCGTTATTGCAGAACCATAAATGTATTAATATATCACAACTACAGGCTTGCTCAATGAAGCAAACTTACATGATTAAGCACAGCAATTACTTGTTTATCAGATTGTAACTGATACACTGAAACTGTTTGCCTTATTTGATTCTGCTCTAGGCCTGGGCAAGGTTTCACAGCCAAATAAACACAACATAAGCAAGTGGAATCTTGCTCAAAATTCATCTCATTTCCGTTGGTTCCTTTTGTAATTTAACAGGGCAGGAAAAATCTTTATTTACATGCTTTTGAACAGAGATACAAGCCAGCCTCTAAGGGTTTTATCCTTAAAACGGAAGAAATTCAGAGGTTAAAACAAGACCAAGAAAATAAGTCCATTGGTAGAATGTATGGATGTGCAAAAAAACAACAACATGGAATCAAAATAGAAAATGACACATACTTTCTTCTAAAGATCCTCACTAAACTTCACTTAAACTGTCTCTGCTTTTTACAAATATGTGCCACTGAATGGAGAAGTACACTTGTTTTATAGGTAATCCTTGATTTACAACAGATATTCGCCACTATTGCAAATGTTCATTTTTTGCTCTGTACAAGGTCTCATCAGCAACAAACCCAGAGATACCATCTTCAACCTGCTAAAAGCAGAGGTACTCCTCATTTCACTGCAGTTTTAGTAAAATGTTTAGGTCCGTGGGTCTCTAAGCTACGCTGAGGTGTTATGAAACTAGGCCCAATTTGCCAGCCGGTGGAATCCCCCACAGGGAGGGACAGAATGCAAAACAACATTAATTGCATTTCCCTCCTTTTAAAATCAAAAGGGTTTTGCCTTAAAATCACAGCTGAGGGTAACTGATGATTTAATCCAATAAATCTTCACTTAGTTTTAGCACACATTTCAACTCAGCCTCCTGATTAAACGTCAAAATCAGAGGAAATGCAATTTCCCCAATTAGTCACCAGGTATATCCAGCTCCAGCAATGTTTCTAAACCCAAATGACTGCCAAATCACTCAGGGATAAAGCCATAACTCGGCCTTTTTTCTTTCAAGCGGAAAAGTTAAACAGTTATCAAGCTATTAACAACCGGAAAAAAAAAATAGAAATGAGGTCATTGCAATGACAGGAGAGCCACAACAGCCCAATATAATTTTGTTTTTCCAGGCAGATGCACAGACTCAAAAGCCAAATCCTAACAAAGCAAATAATAAGGACAGACTTACCACCGCGACCGCATCGCTAGAAAGTATAGCATTAATATCCAGCACTGTATAGTAAGCTATATTGGTCAAGATGTAGATAATGGTCACAATTGGCATAGAAATAGCAATAGCTAGAGGCAGATTCCTGGACAAATAAAACAAAAAGAAAGAAAATACTTCAGTATTAATCACTAGGCACCCTTTTTTCCTCCAACCAACAAGTGCTTGAAGCCTGGAATATCGTCTGCTCATATTTACAGTGATTATAGAACCATGTGAAAGTTTAAGAAATGCATTAAAGCACATTAGGTTTTTCAAAAAGTGCTTTATTTACATTATTCTGGGACCCATCTGTTCCGGAGGCTGTCAATGTGTACTGATTATAGCACACACCAGAGGCTCACATGATGGGAGGATCACATCAGAAACTCACATTCTGTATTCCTTCCCAGTCACTGTATATGAAAAGTCAACATATCGAAAAAGGAGAATATTTCACAGGGTTGAAATGTGGGGTCCTTGGTGTTTTCTGAGCTTAGTCATCTTCTTGCAGATGTTTCATTACCCAAGTAGTTAACATCATCAGTGCTGAGGAGGAGGAGGAGGAGGAGGAAGAGGACAACAACTATGGGTCCTTGGGGCTCTCATCTCTTCTTCCTGTTCCATAAAATTTCTTTCAGACCACAGCTCTTGGTATTGCCAGTCCAAATGCATGGCATAACTATTTTATCCTTCTTTGCTTAATGTTATTGGATTAAAAAAATGGAGAAGCAGGTAGTAATATACAAGAAAGTGATAATTTGGGAATAATATTTGCATAATCTAATACCATAGGTAAGACTGATTAACTAGGAATCTGTCTGTTTGGAATATTTTGTCAGGCATGAAAGAGGGGGTCCACACCTGAGGTGTAGTTAAACTGATTTATTGCTACTCATGCCTATGCACAGGAATATTCTGAATAAGAGTTAGCACCCACTCGGAATTAGATAAAGGTCAATGGAATTCAAGAGAAGTTGGATTTAATTCACTTGTGACTATGAAGGGATTCTAGGCTGATCCCTCTTTTAACTCTGTCCCCAGATTCTGCCACTCCTTCTCCTAAATATCTACAGTATAACATACACAGTACTTAGCACTCTATCCCACCTTGCAATTTTTAAATCAAACTGTACAAAACATTTACAGTTCAACCCTACTGTATTATAGAAATTTAAGCCATAAAAAGCGGGTATGCTCAACTATTATCAATTCAGCGAGCAATGTTCTGTCTTGCCTAACTTTGCTTTAATGAATCTCTTCAACTTCATAATTCTGTCCTTCTCCCCTTATATTTGCAGGATTCAGAGACACTGATCTTGATGCAAACTGTTTCCTTCATTTCTGGGATCAAACTCCTTGTCAGCTGAAAATTTGGCGAGGGTCTTTCAACTTTGTGAGTGTTTTATTTGTTAAAAATAAAAGTTCCAAGAAGCTCTTACCTTTCCGGATTTTTTATTTCTTCAGTTACAAAATTCAGTGTGTCCCAACCTGAGTATGAGAACAAGGCAGAATAAAGTGCAAGAGAAATCCCTCCGAGGTTCCAAGATGATCCCTCAAAAGAGTCCTGAAAATGTTCTGAGTATCCTGGATATAAAAGAAAAACAGAGAAATAAATGCAACCTTGGAACATACAAAACAAAGTGGTTGGCTTAAGCCAGGGGTAGGCAACCTTGGCTCTTTTATGACTCGTGGACTTCAAGTCCCAGAATTCCTGAGCCAGCCATGCTGAGGGTAAAGAGAGAGGCTTCCAAGCTGAGCCATGCTGGCTCGGGAATTCTGGGAGCTGAAGTCCACGAGTCATAAAAGACCCAAGGTTGCCTACCCCTGGCTTAGGACAACATAACAAGAAAAATGCCAACTCTACACAACCTGATAGCTATAATAGGACATAAGACAATACCTAATATGATCTCACAAGATTGCTGAATCTGTTGGGCAATACATTTAGAACAAGGCTCTCCAACCTTGGCAACTTTAAGACTTGTGGACTTCAACTTCCTATTTTCGTGTCCCAGTGTGTGACTGAAATTTCCAAACCAAACAGGAATAAAGAAGTGGTTTTTTTAAACTGAGTATGGTGATAAGCCTACAACAACAGCTCAGATACTGTAGCTCATAAGAAAAACAGTTTAGTAAGGCCAGGTGGCCGAAACTGAACAATAGACAAATAACAAAGGAAAAACACAAGTATGACTAAAGGAAAGGGATTCGCAGATCTTGGCTTCAAAATACAAGCAACCTTGTCAGCAATAAGCATACAAGGGTCACCAAAACAGCTTTTTAAGTCATTCCCATCATTGGTTTATAGGCCAAAGTTTGTTCAAACAGTAATATAATTTAAGTACCCTACACATTTCTGGATCAAACTAAATGTGGTATTAACTGGATGAGTTAATAACTGGCTCTCACCCATGCTGAACACCCACTGCAGAGAACTTTAAACAAGATATAATCTATATATTAAAACAAATCCGTAAATGATTCTACGAGATTTGAAAAGCCATGTAGAAGTCACGGCTTTATTATAAAGTTCCCAAAGTTGAAGGAAACTGATTGGTCGATCCAGATACAATGTGAAGCCTTCATTTAGACCCTGAGAAATGTAATAATCACTCACAGTTGCTTCATAGTGAGATAGGAAGGAAGGAAGGAAGGAAGGAAGGAAGGAAGGAAGGAAGGAAGGAAGGAAGGAGATAGAGACTGGCTTACAGACCTCTAATAAAATGCAGTATAAAACGTTAAAATAAAGGTCTTAAATTTAAAAAATTCAATTAAAATTAAACTAAGCAGGATCGATTCTATCTCTACTCCATCAGCCACTTCCAATGTGCCACATTCTCATTGGGAACTCAGGCTAGTTGGTGCAGCCATGTCTTCAAGGCCTTTTGGGAGCAGATCTGATCTTGAGGGGTGGGGGTGGGCAAGGGGTTCCAGAGGGCAGGAGCCACAGCAGAAAAGTCTCTTCTCCTTGTCCTCCCTAATCAAAATTCCTTGGCTGACAGGGTCCACCAAAGGCTCTTCTGCCGCGTAGGTGGGGTGGGCTAATCCCACTGGGGTGGGCTGACTTCTCAGAGAGCCTTTCGCCCTGAAAATTTCAGCTCAGATTACCATCTTCACAAGGATTTGTTTAAATATGTGCATCAAGAAGTTAGTGACCACATATAACTTGTTCCCAGATTCAAGTCAGGTTGTACACATATTCCAAAGGACTGGTCATTTGTATCTCCTGCAGGAAAACAAAGTTGTGCAGGTTCCTCTTTAAGGGATGACTGGTTGCTTAGCAACCATCCAAAGTTGTGATGGACCTCCCCAAAACAGCCCGGATTCAAAATTCTGTCAGCTATCCCTCTGGTCACAGGATCACATTTGGGGTGCTTAGCAAAGGACCGGCTTTACAGCTGTTTGCAGCATCCTTGGCTAGGATTAATGATGGGCGGGGCTTTTGTTTTTGTTTTTTTGCTGGAGACCAGCATTTACTTCCGGTTCCTGGCCCCCCAAAAAAGCCCATTATGGACTAGGGGTTTGCTTAACGAGCGCAGCATAAGTTTTATGATCCCCAGAAAAAAAATGTCATAAAATTGGATCTGTAACATGGGTGCATTAACTTACACAACCAACATGACATACAGCAGCGAGAACTAAAGGTAACCAACTTATTGTAGAATATTGTAAAGCTTTTGTGGATTAAGTTCCTTTTATCAGATGTAGGAAGCATTTTCTCAAAAGAACAGTACACACACCATTACAAAAATATTTAAAAGGGGTGGGGTAAAAGGAATATGATTTATGGAAGAGCTTGGCAGTGCCAAGTACAAATAAATAATGAATGTTTCTTAAAATATTTGTTGGGTATAGCATAAATCTATGCATTGCTAAACGGATTAATGCTGTAGCTCAGCCACAGTCTTTCTCTCTGTTAAATCCAGTGAAAATATTGCTAAACCTTTAATTCCAGCTCAGCTTATATCACAATTTCTCATTTACGCCTACCCAGAGATTCATTAAGATGAAAGACCTATTTTTCATAAAGAAAAATTGTTCACATTAAGGAACTCTTTTAACACAGGGGTCCCCAACCTCTGAGCCGCAAACTTATCATAGCTGGGCCGCGTATCGGACCAGTGCACACGCTCATATGCATGCAGCTCAACTCATGTGAGCATCGGCTGGCATGAGTGCGTACTCAGCTCAAATTGTGTAAGTTGAGCAGCACACGTGTGCACGCCAGCCTAATGCTCACGCCGCCCAGTTCCCCTCTCCTCAGCTTAGCTACTGAGGGGACCAACCAGTGTCATACCTTCTGATGAAAAATAACCCAAATAGGTGGTTCCTCAATGTATGGTTTTGCGGCTCAATTTTTATCTTTATTGTTTTGTGCTTCGTGCAGTGTTGACTCCTGGTGTTTGCCTAGACTAGTCCCTGCAGTTTTCTTGGCAAAGATTTTCAGAATAGTTTGCCATTGTCTACTTCTTAGGGCCGAGAGAGGAAGGACTAGCCCAGGGGTAGGCAACCTTGGCTCTTTTATGACTCGTGGACTTCAACGCCCAGAATTCCTGAGCCAGCATGGCTCAGCTTGGAAACTTCTCCCTTTCTCCTCAGCATGGCTGGCTCAGGAATTCTGGGAGTTGAAGTCCACAAGTCATAAAACAGCCAAGATTGCCTACCCCTGGACTAGCCCAAGGTCACCCAGCTGGCTTTGCACCTAAGGCAGAACTAGAATTCCCATTCTCCCAGTTTCTAACCTGGTGTCTTTGACCACGACACCCAACTAAATCTCAGTGCAAAACGATCGATACAAACCTCTGTATATTCAGCTATAAATCTTACCCTGGCATAGTTTAACAATTCCTGTCACGATGATGACAATTAGAGCAATGACTTTGGCATAGGTGAATGCATCCTGCACCCTTGTTCCCCACTTAACATAGGAACAATTTATAAATGTTAGAAGACCTACAAGACAAAAAAAAAAAAAAAGGGGGGGGGAAACAAGGAAGGCATTAGAAAGCGATGGTGATGCTGGTTGTTTTAAAGCAAGCCCTGGCGTGAAATTCTCTTCCATGCCAGGGTTAACAGTCACAATGCCATATTAGCAAACAGGTTTAGCAGGCTGTGTTAAGGTGGTTTAAAAAAAGGCACTTGCCAATTTGCTCTTTGACACTTCCAGGGGCAAAACAGGAAGGATCTCATAAGGCAAGTGTACCGAAAATTTGAAAATATTGTTCGTTTTCAGACTCTCGTTTGGGATCCACGCCTTTTAAATGAATACAAACGTTTCTTTTTAATGGACACATTTTTGTTGAAATAGGAATCTGTCATTTGGCAACAAAAACACTTGGAGGGTTTTGATTTTAAAGAAAAATTATGGTATCTGAAGGACAGGAAAAAAATAGAATTAGTTCCAACCTATTTCTGCATCGTTTTAGCAGGAACTATCCCTTTCTGATGATATGTTTCCTCAGCTGTAGGACTGTTTTTGAAAGTACAGATACAATTAGATGCATGGTTCACATCCAAAAATATACAGTAGCAATATATTTTTTTAAAAGTTGGTTTCCCCGTTAATGAAATCTCAAGGCCTTCAACGATGCCAGAGCTTCTGATGTCCTACCTTCACTTGAAAAGTTGGGATATATTCAGAGATGTCTCTGCTTTGAAAAGAGCCCGTACTGAACTGCAGAGCACAGTCAAACAACAGCACGGGGGATGTTTTATATGACATTTTATATTGTGTCATAAAGTACTGTGTGGTAATGTTTATGTCATAAAATGTTTTATTAAAACTTGCCAAATGTCAATCCCTATGGACCGGTAAGGACACTGACACCCACGGAATTATGGGACTTGGATTTTGAAACAATATATTGTTTCAAAAACTGTTGTCCTATGATGCACGGTTTTGCTCAGTTAATGGTTATGCGAATCAGACTTAGTACTTTATTGTCAGACTTGAGGAATCAAGACATGTTAAGTTCCAGTTAAGAAGATCTATTTCTCAATCGTTTGTACAAAAATCTAGTCAACTAATGGTCAGCACTAAATTGGCACTAGGTAAGACTTAATAGAATTTGGGGGGAGGGGGGCTGGACTTGGATCAACTGTGGGAACGTAACGACTCCAGACCGATTCCTCTCTTGACTCCGCACCCAGGTTCTGCCCCTTCTTCTCCTACATGTATAGATGGACTTCGACTCCCAGAATTCCCTAGCCCACATGCTTTTCAGTTTGCTTTTCAGCAGTTGGGACTCTTATCCGTTTCAAAGAGCATCCCAACTTCGTAAACTTTTTAAAAGCTACTTAACTACTATCCTTCCATAATGCAGAAGTTGTTTCTCTTCACTCATGGCAGCTCAACCCACCAAACTCAACTCTGTATCTTGTCAGAACCCAAGTAACTTATGAAATTGCTCAGTAAACACTAATGTGATGAAATCCTTTCTCCTCAATAGACTCACAGAGTATATGTCTGGTTGCCATTACGGAAGTTTACATTTATTGCAGCTGTAACCCAAGCTTCTGAGATCACTTATTACCCTGGAAGAAAAGATCTTTACACACCCAAGGAGTATCCACCCGTGATGATTAACATTCTGGCATATACTGTACCCATCTATGAGCAGTGGAACTCTTGACTCAACATAGTATTAAACAAGCTTTGCCTTCTCTCTAGAATGTCTCAATATTTTTTTAAGCTTCCAATTAGTAAGTCTCTTTTTATTTGGTCCCAATTGAGAAGCACCAGCTGAATTAATCCATTTCCATATGATTCTCATGAAGCTGAATTGTGGTTTAATAGAAACAACAGCTATTATCATGCAATCATGGAAACAATAAATCAAAACAATGTAAAAACACGTTCTTGGCTTAGGGGAGAGAGATGAAAATAGGGCAGAGCTGGACTAGAAAAAAAAAATATTTGTTAACAGATGCCTACAAGATTTGAAGCACTTCGGATTCCTGAGGAAATCCATAGACCAGTCTTTCTCAACCTTAACAACTTTAAGATGTGTGGATTTCACCTTCCAGAATTCCCCAGCCAACATGCTAGCCGGGGAATTCTGGGAGTTGAAGTCCACGAGTCATAAAAGAGCCAAGGTTGCCTACCCCTGCTCTAGGGCAAGGCAGACCAACAACACAGGAGATCCACTTCTGATTCTACTCCCCCCCCCCGCCCCAGCTCTGATGGAAGCAAATTCAGACCTGAGGACCTGTGTAGAATACTCACATACACAAGCAGCGGCAATGAGACGACAAGCAATGTACGGAGGCTGGCAAGAAGGGAAGACTGGCTGCACAATATAGTTGGCAAAGGTTATCGTGATGATAGCCTGGCTGGTTGGTTCAATGATCAACAGCGACGTCCACAGACGTATAAAAGCAATGAAGCTTCCAAAGGCCTCTAAGATATATGCATAACTGGCTCCTGACTTGGTGATCGTGGTGCCCAGTTCAGCATAGCAGAGGGCTCCGATCACGGAAAACATCCCCCCCAGGGCCCAGATGACGAGGGATAATCCATAGGACAAACTGTAGTTAAGTACTCCTTTGGGAGAAACAAATATCCCGGACCCAATCATATTTCCTACTATAAGGCAGATGCCGTTAAGGAGAGAGATTTCTTTTCTCAGCTGCATAGTTCTTTGGTCTTCACCATTCTTTTCAGCATTGCTGCTCGGATCCATTTTATCAGCTGTCCTGATTGGCTGGTACTCATTCAGGGAATTAAGAGGTGGAAAGTTCTCCCTCTTCTCCATGATGACATCCACAAGGTGTCTACTGCTAATGCCGATGCCAAACTAAAAGAAAAAGTAGGATTAAAATCTGATATTTTAAACATATGGGATCAGGCCAAGAAACTAGAGCCACTCGTGAATAGCTTGAGTCAGCAACTTTATTGACTTCTTCCTATATTACAAGAATCTCCCCAGACAGCTTTCCTTCTCCGGGAGCAAGCAGATAAAGCTTCATGAGGGAAGGATGAGAAACAATAGTTGGAAACTGATCAAAGAGAGAAGCAACCTGGAATTAAGGAGAAACTTCCTGACAGTGAGGCAATCAACCAGCTTACCCCAGAAATCGTGGACACTCCATCACTGGAGATTTTTAAGAAGAGACTGGACAGTCACCCGTCTGAGATGGTATAGTTCTCCTGCTTGAGCAGGGGGCTGGACTAGAACACCTCCAAGGTCCCTTCAAGCTCTATTCTATTCTATTCTATTCTATTCTATTCTATTCTATTCTGTTCTGTTCTGTTCTGTTCTGTTCTGTTCTGTTCTGTTCTATTCTATTCTATTCGACTCGACTCGACTCGACTCGACTCCCACCAAAGGTGATCTTGGACCAGTCACTTTCTCTCAGCCATAGGAGGGGGGCAATGGTCAACCAGTTCTGAAAAACCTTGTCAAGAAAACTGCAGGGATTTTTCCATGCAGTCTCTGAGAATTGGACATGATTGAACTGAATAAATTGTTTTAGTAGACTAACTTCTATGTTAAGCAAAAGTTGGCTTCAAGGTAAGACCTGGCCAGGACCACAGCTGATAGTTAGTTAGTTAGTTAGTTAGTTAGTTAGTTAGTTAGTTAGTTAGTTAGTAGGAAAGCTGCTATTTGGAATTCAATTCCTGTACTAGTTTCATTCAGAGATGTTTTGTTAAAGAATCCCAAGAATTCTAAAGCAGGGATTTGGAAAACTCACTGCTAATCAGAACAGACACTAATGGGGCATAAAGAACTTAGGAACACTATTTCACACAGTAGCATCTCAAGGAGCCATGAATTACATAACTCTTTCTGACATAGTCATCTCAGGGGGGAAAAATGTCATTGCCAATACATCCCGGTTAGAAAAAACATTTACTTAATCGTAGTAGCATGCATGCACAGAACAACAGGAGAGGAATTTAATTTATCTAGTCATATCTGCACAGTTGTTATATTCTGGAGTAGCAAAAGGCAGCAAAAAGAAGCACAACAAATCACCTATTTAATTACGTATATATCACAGATTTTAAAAAGGTTCCTTTGCAGTTTGACAGCACCGACTGCCGCTTACAGCTCTTCTGCAGTCTCTATTCATTTCAGACAACATTAAATAAATTTAAAACTATTTGCAGGGTCCAGCAATCACATGACTGCAATTTATGATGCTTTTTTTAGTTCTGGAAAACTTCCAGTTTCTGATAGAAACACCCATTAACGGTTCACTCGACAATATTGTCATTTACTTAAGAATCGCCGCGAAAAATGTTGTAAAATTGGGTCAATCACAAGACAACCTGTTTAACAAACAGCACAACCTAAATTTTAATTCTAGGCTCAATGATGGTCATAAGTTGAGAACTACCTATAAATAAACAGGCAGCAAGCCCCTCTCATGCACTGATGACGTTCCCTAGATGGGTCATAAAATATCTGCAAACAAACAACCAAAGCTCAGACAGCATCAAGGACTCTACAGGTCATGAATAGCCACCTGGGTTTTTTTTGCTGCGTTCCAGAGAACCAAGACACTGCTGACTACAAATACAATAAGTTCTACAGATTAATAAGCTGTCCTGGGGTGGTGGTCGTGAATATTTCTATTTATTGCAACAAAACAAGTTCATTAGAGCAAGTGGTCTACCTAGGTCTCAACAGGTAACCGTACCTGGCTGAGTTGAGTTGGGTTGCAAAGCTAATCAGGGCCAGGTTGGAACAGGCGCAGGTAAGCTCAGAGCTAAAGAGTAAACAAGGAAACCAAAGTTAAAAACAATAGGTCATCCCTCCCATACGGCTAAGGAAATTGCAGAGATCCAGGCGTGCAGTCACAAGCTGACTCCAAGATGTGTTTTTTGCTTTACCTTTAGCCCAGTTGGCACTCCAAACTTTTTTCCTATTTACATTTTAAGTAACCGAAACAGATGTATATGACTTACATATAATGTGTTAATTATATCAGTAAAAATGCTTATTTTATTAAGGACACAGTTAATGTATATATAACACAATGAAATCAAACAAGAAACTGCAGCCTTCTTCACTGTCAATCTTACTAAGAGCATAAACTTGTCAACATCTTCACCACCTCAATAGCAGGCACTACTGATTCCGTTTCCTAGCCTGGTTTTAGCTGACCAGAAAAATTCTCCTCCTGTAGATTGTTGCCATTTTCCATTAAAAAACTTAAAAAGCTAACGAAATCCTAAGCTGCATTAACAAAGGGATAGAATCGAGATCACGTAAAGTGTTAGTACTGCTTTATAAGCCCTTGGTAAGACCAACTTGGAATACGGCATCTGGTTTTGATCACCAGAATTCTAAAAAAAAGATGTTGAGACTCTGGAAAGAATGCAGAGAAGAGCAACTAAGATGATTAGGGAGCTGGAGAATAAAAGATGTGAAGAACGGTTGCAAGGATTGGGTTTGTCTAGTCCTAGTGAAAAGGACTCGGGGTGACACGATAGCAATGTTCCAATATTTGGGGGCTGCCTCAACCTAATTCTGCAAAGCACCAGAAGGCAAGACAAGAAGCAGTGGATGGAAACTCACTAAGGAAAGAAGCAACCTAGAACTAAGGAGAAATTTCCTGACCGTGAGAACAATTAACCAGTGGAATAGCTTGCCTTCAGAAGTTGTGAATGCTCCAACACCAGAGGTTTTTAAGAAAGGACTGGACAGCCACTTGTCTGGAATGGCATAGGGTCTCCTGTTTGAGCAGGGGGTTGGACTAGAAGACCTCTAAGATCCCTTCCAACTCTGTTATTAAATAGCAAAAACGTCTTCACTAGGAACAACCTGATTTAATTAAGCAGTAATAACAGTGGTTAAACCCCCTGCTAAATATAAATAAATAACTCCCTCACTCCATATTAAGTAATAGCCGGTTATAAGTTCATCTGTTTCTTGTTACAGTTTGTTTTATTTCTGGTTTCCTTCTTTTTTTTCAGACTTTAGCCATGAGATATTTTAATGGAGGAGTAGGAGTATACCTATATTAACCTGCAAATCTGAGTTTCAGAAACTAGGAGAAGAAAGGCAAATGTCTATTAAAATCTGTATTTCATTTGTGAATCAAATAATCATACTGGTTATTAGGTTGCTGAACAGAAATATAGAAGAAGAAAGAAGTATTTTCAAATAGCACTCCCTGCTTTTTTTATCCTGAATGATTACTCAGCAAATCTAAAAATTTATGTTGGTCATGTTTTTCCAAGGATTTTCATTGTTTTATAGCCAAATATTTTGTTGTTTACAAAAATTCAATCCTAAGCCAAAATTTTTCAGTGCTCAAACCATGTGTTTCTTTACAAGAATATGCTAAGGCACATTTCTCAGAACACTTGGGACTTGGTTCCCGGAAGTACCAACCTAATTCAGAAGGATCTTCATATACATCAATTATTTAAAACCAGCCTCTTTCTTGGGAATTCTTTCACTGAGTGCACTTTGCAATGAAACCGATTAGATGATTTTGAACAAGCAGTTCACTCTCGCCTTAGCCTATGCGGTGTCATTATATAAGTAAAACTATAAGAAAAACACAATATTCCATTTATAGCATCTTGAATTTCTTGGAAATGGGTCAGACCTCAACTTGACGTTTTTTTTTAAAAAAAGAAAGAAATCGTGAATTTAGCTACACAACATTTCAACTTGAAGCAATACATCAGATAAATCACAAACTATACTCTGACTTTTATGTATTACATAAATACTGTATCTTGTAAAAAAAATAGGTTACAGTTTAATGTGTGCAAATGCAGTCAAGTATAATTTAGCCCTAAAGCATGATTTGACAAAAACACAGAGGAGATTCTGTTAGGTTCAAAGATGCCAACAGATAGAGTAACTCGTATTCAGCAAATGCTGTAGTTGGATACATAAAGAGAAATCTATGATTTTAATGCCAGCAAATTCTGCAGCGTTTATTGTATAGTCAAGTCTATCACTGCCTGTTCTGATCTGGGCATGTTTTGGTATGAAAGATTGGTATCCAAACGTGGCAACTTCAAGACTTGTGGAAATCAACTCCCAGAATTCCTCAGCCAGCCATGCTCCCATTCGGGCAGCTGAATTTCACCAGTCTTAAAGTTGCCAAGTCTGGACATCCTAGTGTAAAACTTCCACTGGGCAAAGAGCTTAGGAAGGATGACAATGTTGTAATCCAACAGATCTGGAGATCACCAGGCTGGGGGAAATTATGCATCAAAGGGCCAACACAAGTTGCAACAACAGAAGTATTCCCATTAGTAAAGGAACTGGGTAGCTATTGGTTGGGATCCAACTGTTGTCTGGCCCTTTTCTTAAACAGTAGGAAATAATCAACTCTCAGTTAATCTCCAGGAAAGCAATTGCTTGGCAAAATATCATGCTAAGCTGGGATTTGCTTAATCATGATTTCCGAATATTGCTGGCTAAGTCCACTTCATGAATCGTAACTGCTGAGGTGCAAACCACACCGACACCGCTTAAAATTGAGGTCACGTGACTATGGGATGCTACAAACAGCCACGAATGTGAGCTGGACACAACCAGAAGGAAGGGCGTCTGTGAGAACTTCAAAACTGGTCATAAGTAGTTCTGGGAGGCCCGTTGTAACTCTGAATGGTCATTAAATGACTGGTTGTTATGCAAGGGCTACTAGCAGTATCTCAGGTGGCTAATTAAAGTGAGATGCTTCCAGAGGCAAACCAGTTCTTGGACTAGGGGAAAATAGGGGGGGGGGGAAATCTGGTTTTAAGCCATGCTGAAGCCTGTTGCTAGTTCATTGCTTATCTTTCCTTTATTACAGCCAAGGATGGTACTGTCTTTAATTTTAAGTGCATTCTATAAAGTTAGTTCTCCAGTTTCCCTGAAATGTTGCAAATAAGAATTTGGAAACAACTCAAGGAGCTTTTTCTGGGCCTAGCTTAACAAAAATTGTTTTTGACTGCTTGTTTAAAAAAAAACAGCTTTGTTAACAATAACAAACAGCAGTTCCAGACAAATAAGTTAATACCACATTGTTGTTGTTGTTTTAAAAAAAACAGTCATGCAAAAGGAAATGCTGGAGGGTAAGAAAGTGCTTTCTTTTTTAAGGAAGTGTTTGCTTTTTAAGGAACAAGAAGGCAGCCTGGTTTTACACCCTCACCTTCTATCGATCAATATAACTTTTCTCCAGAATTACAAGAATTCTCATATTCCTTTTGATTGAAAAAGAAAAATAGGCCACAAGAGAGTTAAGAGAGAGCAGGAACTAAAATCTGAAAGTAATGATCCTAGGAGAGCTTTAGAGAAACAGGCCCACTTGATACTGAATATACTAAGAGTGGGTTGTGACATTATACACACCTTCCTCTTCCATGAACTCAACACACTTCCCAACTGATCGAAATCATGTGCTTCCTTAGTAGAATTGGTAAACCTGTTCTAGAATCTGGTTACAAAGAGACTGTAGGTAAGCATTAGGCAAGCACTTGTAACATGGTTACAAAGACATTGTAGGTAAGATGACAGACAACAGAGACCAATTTTAATCTTGGCGGCTTTAAGGTATGAGGACTTCAACTCCCAGAATCCCCCTGACAAACTCATGCAGCTGAAAAAGCACCTATTGGCACTCAGCACTGCAACACTTGACTTAAAAAGGGGTAGATTTGGAATCATCAGTGTTTCTCAAACTTGGCAATATTTAATGATGTGTGAAATTCAACTCCCAGAATTCTCTTAATACTGTTTTTTTTTTGAGTGGAATGCAAAAAAAATTCATTTTAATACTAAAATGAATATATTCCTATATACATTAAAATAAACACATGTTGCTGATTAGTGTACATTTAAAGCGACAGTAAGGTTTTTATTCTGTTCTAATTATTGCAAAGGGTAGCTTTATTCAGAATAGCTTACATCTTGTGAGGATACCTCCAACACCATGAAACATCAACATCTGCCTATCCCAGGCCCTTGGGAAGAACTTGTGAGGTGGATAAAAATGTTACATCCAGTCTGAACATCTGGCTGACTATGCTATGAACCCTTAATAAGGGAATTATTAACAATGCTTAATAGGATATTTATTAATTGAAAGCCACCCAGAATCACCCAGAGTGAGTGGGCAGCCATATAAATTTTTCATAAATAAAATTAATTGTTTCAATAGGTTATGTGAGCCCAACCAGATGGGTTTTATTTTAACAACTTTGGTTAAGCAAACCGTGACACAGACTGGTGTTTCTTAACCTTGATTACTTTAAGATGCGTAGACTTCAACGCCCAGAACTCCCATTGGTGGAAAAGGAATTCTGGGAGTTGAAGTCCTCACATCTTAAAAGCTGCCAAGGTGTATAGAACACCAAAACACCCATCTAGACATCTTGCAAATGAAGGGTGCCAGGATCTTTAAATAGCTGAGAGAAAAAAAAAATCTCTTGTCCGTCATTCAGTACAGCAAGCATGATACATTCAATCAAGAGAGATTTAAATGTTGTTTTACTAAAAGGCAACTTTTTACTGGCTTTGAGTCATCGCTGATTCCTGGCAACTGTCTGCTCTTGGCAAGACTTCAGAAGAGCTTTGCCACTGCCATCTTCCTAGGGCTGAGAGAATGACTAGCCCAAGATCACCCAGTTGGCTTTGTGCCTAAAGCAGGACCAGAAAATAGAATAATAGGGTTGGAAGGGGAGATCTTCTAGTCCAGTGGTTCTCAACCTTTTTAATGCCACGACCCCCCAACCGGTCGTAAGTCGAGGACTACTCAACCGGTCGTAAGTCGAGGACTACTAAACTGGTGCAGCACCGTTTGCAGAATGGGACTTTTGGTGGGCTCAGCAGGGCAGAGACAGCCTGGACAATTCCTATTGGCTTTTGAAAGCCAATAGAATTAGACTCTATTCAAGAGAGTCTATTCTATTGGCTTTCAAAAGCCAATAGAATAAAAGGGAGTAGCACAGCTAAGGAAAAGGGGGAAAAAATGGCGGACTGCGTTGTTTGGCGACCCCCGTGAAATGGTCGTTCGACCCCAAATGGGGTCCCGACCCACAGGTTGAGAACCACTGTTCTAGTCCAACCCCTTACTTAAGCAGGAAATCCTATATTATTCGAGACAAATGGCTGTTTAGTCTCTTCTCTTGAGTGGGCGATGGAGCACCCACAACTTCTGAAGGCAAGCTGTTCCCCCGATTGTCTGTCAGGAAATGTCTCCTTAGTTCTAGGATGGTTCTCTCATTAATGAACTTCCACCCGTTGCTTCTTGTCCTGTCTTCAGGTGCCTTGGAGCAAGGGTCCCCAACCCCCGGTCTGTGCGGCATGCCAGCAACCGGTCCGCACAAACAAGCAAAGCCCCATCTGTGAGATGCAGGCAGCACACAAAACCACGCACACTCCGGTCCATGTAAAAACCTCTCTCCATGGGACGAGTCCATGGTGCCCAAAAGGTTGGGGACCTTTGCCTTGGAGAAAAGGCTAATCCCTTCCACTCTGTGGGGCAGTCCCTCAAATACTGCAAGACTAGGACTCACAACATCCTGGTTTCTACCTTAGCCACTAGACTAGACCAACCTGTTCCTAAGACAGTCGATTTCCACCACCATCCCATACAAAAGACTTTTCCCATATCCCTATCCATTAAAGGTATATAATGCAAGTCCTTAGTTGCAAACAAAGCCGCTAAAAATCCAAGGCTCCCAATTCTAGAACTGTCTTTCTCCTCTTACAGAGCAAAAAATGAAGCCCTTTTATTTATTACTAATATTTCCTACTGACTTCCTACTAAAAGGTTACCAAGGCAATGCACAACTTTAAAAAAAAACAAACACAGACATAAGCCAGCCATAAAACCACCTTTAAAAAGTTAAGAGTCATAGTAATCAAACACAGAGATGATTTCAAAGGGCAGGCTGGGGAAAAAAAAAAAATCCTCAAGCTTTTTTCCCCTCACAAACAACCCGGAACGCCGGTCGGTAAACAAGGATGACCTCTTCAAAGTTCTCAGCCTTCCTCCAAGTCCGGGAATCTTTGGTCTGGGCCGGCAGAGGAGGATGGGCGTTGTGGTGCAAAGACGTACGGCATCAGAACAGGAAAAGAAGGGGAAAATCTGCCCCCCTATAAAAAAAAAAATCAGGGTTTGCTCCCCCTTTGCAAGCCGAGGCTCTGGATTGTAACTGCAGGAACCCCCAATCAGGCACGGCTCGCCTGCTCCCCAATTCTTGATTTCCCAACTCACAGCGATTTGGGGGTGCCAGACCAAGGCGGGGGGGCGCCGCCTTTTAGACCGAAGACCCCAAAGGGCAGAAGCTGAAAGCCACTCCAGGCCCGGCGAGCCCCGGAGGCCCCGCCTTGCACGGAGACAACAGCCAGCCGTCCCGCCCACCGCCCGCTGCTTGCCGCGGGGACCCCCAAAACAGCCGCCGGGCCCCCTCTGTCCTGCCCAAGGCTGCCCTCCGCTCCCCGGGGCCACAGACTGAGCGCTGGCCCGCTTGGAACGAGGAAGGCGAGCCGGGAGGGAAGAGAGATCATTTGCTGTTGTTGGTCTCATTGCAAAGCACAGGTCCAGCCTGAACCCAGCCAGGCTGCGGCAGAAACCACCATTCAGGGCTTAAGGGAGCAGCCAGGTGGATTGCCCAAAGCAGCCCAAGGTGCATTAGCCCGGAATCCAGGCTCCCCGCTCCGCCAGCCAGCCAGCCAGCCACCCATCCGCCCAGCCCTGCACCTGGCCGGGGCTCTCACCTCCCCGCTCCCGAGGGACGCGGCTGCTGCTGCTGCTGCTGCTGCTGCTCCGGCTACAGCAGCTGCGTCTGCGCCTTCCTTCCTTCCGCCAGCCAGCCGCCCTCCAGGACGGCCGGCCGGCCAACCACCTCCGACCTGCCGCCACCGACGCCGGGCGGCAAAGTGGCGTCGGCGCCCCTGCCCGCCTGGCTTATTTTTCCCGCAGCCGGACAGCCGACAGCCCCGCCCCGGGGCGTGGACCCGCCGCCCCGCCCCGCCCCTTCTTGCGGCGGGGAAGCGCTTTGTCTCCGCCGGCCTCGCCGGGGTCTGGCCGCGGGTTAGCGAGCCGGCCATGACGGTGGGCTGAGCCCGCAAAGGGCTTTGAATGGTCCACCGTGCTTTTCAGGTGGCGCGGCGGGCGGAGGTGGCGGGTGGGCAGCCTGGATTCCGGGCGAGAAGAGAGAAGAGAAGAGAAGAGAAGAGAAGAGGGGATGGGGTGGGATGTGGTGGGATGGGATGGAAAGGAAAGGAATAACAAAGAATAGAATAGAATAGAATAGAATAGAATAGAATAGAATAGAATAGAATAGAATATGGAATGAAATATGGAATAGGATAGGGATAGGATAGGATAGGAATTGGAAGGGACCTTGGAGATCATCTAGTCCAACCACCCCACCCAAGCAGGAGACCCTACACCATTTCTGACAGACAGCAGTCCAGTCTCTTCTTGAAAACCTCCAGTGATGAAGCTCCCGCAACTTCTGAAGGCAACTTTCTCATTTCTAGATTGAATCTCTCCTTGATGAGTTTCCATCCATTATTGTCTGGCCTTCAGGTGCTTTGGAGAATAGGTGGACCCCCTCCTCTCTGACAGCCCCTCAAATACTGGAACCCTGCTATACTCCTCTTCATTAGACTAACCATGCCCAGTTCCTGCAACGGTTCTTCATATGTTTTAACCTCCAGTCCCCTCATCATCTTTGTTGCTCTTCTCTGCACTTTTTCTAGACTCTCAACCTCTTGTTTATAGTGCAGAGATTTGCTTAACCATGACAACATAGGTCATAAAATCAGACACAACTCACTTAAGAACTGACTTGCTAGCAATGCAAATTTTCGACCCAGTTCTGGATCTTGCTGTCTCATCTCATGATTGTTTTATGAATAGGCTGGAAATAATTTTGATTTCACAGACCTCTGAGATGGTCTCTGGACACTCCCAGAAATTCTTGGACCATATTTTAAGAAACAGTGGCTTAATGTATTCCATGCACCCAATCATTACAGTTTATTAACTATGGTGCCTAAATACATCTGATTGGTTTCTTCAGTACAGAATGAACAAACGTTATGGCTTAGCAAAAAGTGTGAATCCAAGCAGAATGCATGTGCAAATATTTATATGTGCTTGGAGACAGCAGAGATGAATTTAAAAAAAAAAAAACACCTTGTCCATCCAACAAAATCTGAATCTCAGAAAAGATCTTTCTAAATTAAAAAAAAACATTGAGAGAATGTTCCCGTAATAAAGGTCCAAATCTGCCCTGAATGTTTAATGAACTGGCCTTAATTATCTTGTGAAATGGATGGATGGAATTTGCACATGGTATGTTGAATTGCCTAAGGCAGGGATGTCAAACTCACAATGTCACGTGACGTGTTGTGACTTTTTTTCCATTGACGGCAATGGGGTGGGCGCGGTTTCGCCATGACTTGCAGTTTGACACTCCTGGCCCAAGGGAAACCAGCATCTAATAGCAACCAGCTATTGGCTTTATATATCACCCCAAACTAAGAAAGTTCAGATCACGGCAGTGACAGAGAAATAAAAAAAAAACTAGAATGGATTGAATACTTTTTTTCCACAAAACAAAATAACAGAATTACAGAATTGAATGGGACCTTGGAGGTCTTCTAGTCCAACCCCCTGCTCAAGCAGGAGACTCTATATCAATGATGGTGAGCCTTTTAGAGACCGAATATCCAAACTGCAACCCAAAACCCATTTATGTATCATTGGATGCCAGGTGGGCATGGCCATACGCGTGCCATAGGTTTGCCACCATGGACTTAGGGTTAGGGCTACATCACCATGAACTCATACAGCAAAATGGACATCGCCAACAAACTCGGAGTGCTTGGGTACGGTTAGGAGGGCACTGACTTTTCTAGGCTACCCTATCTATGTTTCCTGGTAAAATACATGGGAAAATCCCATTGGAGGAAAATTCCACTTAGGGCAGTGATGGCGAACCTTTTAGAGACTGAGTGCCCGAACTGCAACCCAAAACCCACTTATGTATTGTGAGGTGCTGAGTGGTCGTGGCCCATTGGGTTGGTGTGGCCCATTGGGTGGGTGTGGCTGCGGTGGTAATGGGACTAAATAGTGCAATCAATCAATTCCAACTTTGCGAGATCTTTTTTTCCCCCAAATTGATTGATTGATTGAACCCTTTTTTTTTTTTTTTTGCACACAGTGGCGGAGGCCTAAAGCGAAAAGGTTTTATAAAACCCAGCTGAAGGCCTAGGACTAGGGCGACGGCGCGGGTGCCCATAGAGAGAGCTCTGCGTGCCATCTGTGGCACACGTGCCATAGATTCGCCACCACGGCCCTATACCATTTCAGACAAATGGTTGTCCAGTCTCTTCTTAAAACCTCCAGTGATGGAGCACCTATAATTGTATTTGAAGAGATCAAAAGAACTTCAAATGAGGTCTTCTAACAAACATTCTTATCTTTCTCAAGATATATATGCAAACTGGCAAGGCAATTCTTTGCAAAAAGAAAAAAGAAAAAGAAAAAGAGGCCTTTTCACCTAAGTAAGAAATATATTTTTTTTGTTTTTGGAAAAAACAACTGTATCCTGATATGAACTTTGCATTATGATGCACCAACTTCAGTGGAGGGGAAAGGAAATGGAGAAATGGAAAAATACGTTTACTTTGGACTGAAGTGGAGATAACATTATTTATGTCTTTTTAAAAGTGTACCCCTGACCTTTTAAAATCATTTTTCTTATGCCATCCCACAGAACACAAATTACCACAGAGTAGCTTTGATTAAGCTCCTGAGAAAACCATACCCATCAAAAGTCTTATGGATTTCAGATATGGGAAGATTCTATATTTTAGGTTTCATAAAGATCCAATTCTTCTGAAATTCTTCTCAGGCTCGCTCTCAAAATCCAACAATGAACATGACTGATAAGATGCATTTCTCACTCTCCAAGCTCAAGATGTTCTGGGAATCACTGCTACAATATTTGACTTGCTCTGAAGCTGGAACTCACAAAACGCATAGATTTCATTAACACATTGCAAAGAAAATACACACTATCACCTTTGTCTTAGATAAAAGAGACCAGACACTCAACCCATCTACAATGGTGAATTCCAAATCTCACAATTCATGCTTGCAAATGTGGGGAACCAATGCAATTTAGGGATGAGAAAACTAAGGTCTTACACATTGGCAAGAAAAACCAAATGCACAGATATAGAATAGGCCAGTGATGGCGAACCTTTAAAAGACTGAGTGCCCAAACTGCAACCCAAAACCCACTTATGTATCGTCGAGTGCCGGGTGGGCGTGGCCCATTCGCTGGGTGTGGCCAATTGGGTGGGCATGGCCCATTGGGTGGGCGTGGCTGCAGTGATAACGGTGAGACTAGGAAAAGTTCAATCAATCAATTCCAACTTTGCAAGATCTTTTTTTTCCTGCAAGAAGTTGAAATTGACTGATTGAACCTTTTTTTTTTTTTTTTGCACATGGTGGCAGAGGCCTAAAGCGAAAAGGTTTTATAAAACCCAGCTGAAGGCCTAGGACTGGTGCGACGGTGCGCGTGCCCACAGAGAGGGCTCTGAGTGCCACTTTTGGCACCCATGCCATAGGTTTGCCACCACTGGAATAGGTGGTACCTGGCTGAATAGCCGTGTGAGGAATAAAAATTCAACTCCAAGGGTGTTGGAAAACAGAACATGTTTTATTAAAACTTCTACAAAAGCTGGTGGAACTCTTGGTAATGACAAATCCCAGAATCCACACCTGAATCAATTTTTGCATAGGTTTTTATACCCTGTCCCGTGCCCTGGAAGAATGCATTTTTCCCTTCCCCCATAGCTGTGGCAAGCCGAAAAAACAGAAGAAAGATGGCTGTAACCAAAAGTAGTTTTGTAGGCTTGACAGTAACAACATGTCCTTTGGTGAGTTGGCCACAGCAAGGTATCTCACAGCAAGTTGACCATGGCAAGTTGGCTGTGGCAAGTTGTCCAGTTCCAGTTTGAGAAAACCCAGCCAACGTGATTTGAGAATGAAGACAAGCTAGCTGCTAGGCTAAGTTCTTCATTCTTTATGCTTTCTTATAGTCAGCTGGAAAGAAGTTGGAGTTCTCTGCATATCATGTGGGTAATCACAAGCCAGGTTGAAAGGATCTGGGATGGCCAGATATACCAAGGGCGATTCCCCTTGGAAATGATCGCAGCATTCCTAAATCAAACCAGAGAATATCCGTGTTAAAAAATCTTTCCTTATATATTACTCCTTCCCTCCCTTGTGCAGCTGCTCAAAACACTACTGACCAGCTGGGGTATGGGTGGGTGTCAAAATCCGCTAGATGATGGGTTTGGTGTTGCAACTGAAGACCCATCTTTTTGCATATTGAAATCTTTGCTTGCAGCAGCTTAGGAAATTCCATCTTGACAGGAACAAGGAGATTTAAGGGAATTGGACACGACCCTTCCAGTGCTTACCTGCTCTTGCATGAAAACAAAAATTACACATCAGCACTCTGCTCACAATATTAATTCGGTAATATCTTTGCTGGCCTCCTCAGCCTGATCTCCTGTTAAGTATTTTTGCAGAGTTCAGTTCTACCTACAGGCAGAAAGGTGGGAATTGGAAATTCCACATCTGGAGGGCCCCAGTTGTGGCACAGCTGTTTTAGAAACACTATTTAACCAACTTGGATGCTCTGCTTATGCAAACATGGTTTCTCCTGTGCCAGCAATGTGTTTTTGTTTTCCCCTGCCAGCTATTTTTTTACTTCCAGACATCTGCCGATTTTATTCTGGAATTCAGTTAGTGAGGGAAAAAAAAATATTGCTGGGGTTTGATATTTTCATTGTTAATGATGTGAATAATGAGCAGGGTGGTGGCCTAGTGGTGAAAACGCTTGCCTCCCACTCAGGGGGTTGAGAGTTGGATCCTAGGTGGTGGCAGATGTTTCTCTCCTAGATGTTTCAGATCCAGTTGGCGTTTAATCTCATTTCAATCAGTGAGTTTCATTTTCAGCATGATTAACTTTCCTGGGGGGTTATAAAAGAATCTCAATGCAGTTAACCTAGTCTGGATCCACTTATTGGATCTGGTTCACAGAATGCATTATATTTGATATTATCATTTAATCAATAAACCATAAATTAAATTAAAACACAACATATTAGGACACGATGCAGTTGGTTTGGATTGTTTATGACGTCGGATTTTTGGCAAGCACAGTCTAAATCTAAAGCTAAATAGACATACTTTATTGTAGCTTATTCAGAAAGGATATGGTTAAGAAAGTTGGCTGAATAAAATGCATGAACGCAGCATAGAGTTTATTTTTTTAACTGTATGATTTTGCAAACGTAAAACAGATACTGTATTTACATCTGCATGTTTACATTTTCTGAAAGTGAACCCACAAATCTTCAATTAATTCCGATATAACTTTGCAGGAGATCTCCCAACACCAAACCTGCTTCATTACACAGTTGTGAGATGACCAACATAGTTTTCCATTATTCTCTGATCCTTTGCAGAGGAGTCATCCCAGCTGAGTATTGAGCATCCACGTTCCTCATTTGGGAAGAATCTGAACACTTGAATCTCTCTCGCTTCACACCACCTTGATTTCAGGTGCAGAGAACCAAAGGTGTAATGGGCTCCCGAAGGTGAACTGCCTTACTTCTTGCTTGACGCCATTAGCAACATTGCTTTTACTCCCTGTGGTTTACTGGGAAAGCCCTGTCCTTCAACAACTTTTTATTTCCCACAGCTCCACAATCCGCTTTCGCACAACGTGAAAATAAAAAGCTTGTGCTCTGCTGCCGTTAAGGAAAAAAACAGGAAAGTTGAGAGCCTCCTCAGGCCAATATCTTGCCCAAAATAGCAAATCGTGTTGCTTTTCCTCAGCGGGCAGCCCATTCTTTTCATCCAATCCAGGCATTTATGGACGTATTTAAAGAGGATGAACATCTCTGAAAAGTAACTCCAGGCATCCCTCGGACTGATAAGGCCACAGTGTAAACCGAACGGAGATTCAGGTTTAATTCACAAGGTTTACTTGGAGCCTTCTCAGCAAAAGGCAGCCTTTACTGCTGGATAATATAGTCACGACAGTCTCGGCAGCATTTTCCCCCAAACTCAGACAAGTGTCAATCAAAGCACGGGTCCGTCCCGTCAAAGTCGGGTATGAGGCGATCATTTCATAATCTGCCCTGGGTAAGAGCTGCTGGGCACGTAGGACATCCAGGAGGTGGTTCAAACGCCCTTCGGTCATTGAGCTCAAGATGGCTTCTCGCCCCAAAGTGAGAATGGAGCAGTTTTTTTCTTTGCTGGGAGGACCTGAAATACAGCGGAGCAAAGATTGTGAGAATGCAAGCATCGGACGTTTCCTGATTCCTTCATAAACCATTTGCAAGTGGAATTTGCAACTGGGAAGGACCATCTCTTCCCAGACAGTCCATCACTCAAAGACCCTTCTAAAATAAAGAGATGACGATAATGATATTTTAATCACACCTTTTTGTAACTATAAAGCAAGCATATCTAATATTCTTGCCTCCTACAGTATTTTGTATGAACACAACTCTTTCATATGGGATTCACACTTTATTCTAAGCCATGCTGTAATCAAAGGTTTGCTGAATAAAATGAGGACTCAGATCGTTGGGGACAATAGGCTGACTCTGTAAACTGCTTAGAGAGGGCTGTGAAGCACTGTAAAGGAGTATATACTTATAAGTGCTATTGCCCTTCCTTCCTTCCTTTCCTTCCTTCCTTTCATCCATCCATCCATCCATCCATCATGCACAGTAGTTAGAATGCAGTATTGCAGGCTGACTCTACCCATTGCCAGGAGTTCGATCCTGACCGGCTCACGGTTGACTCAGGCTTCTATCATTCCAAGGTCAGTAAAATGAGGACCCAGATTGTTGAGGACAATATGCTGATTCTGTAAACCGCTTAGAGAGGGCCATAAAGCACTGTGAAGCGGTATATAAGTCTAAGGGCTATTGCTATTGCACATATTAAGCTATAAATGTATGATTTATAAATCAAATGGAGTTGTGCAATATTGTCAAGAGTGCCTCTCTGTTTTCATCTTGCCATTGGAATAAGGGGGGGGGGGAGAATTGTTGCTTTTGAATGAGTTAGTTTAATGTCAACTTCCAACTCAAGTATCCAAATAAAAGTCCAAGATTATTTTCATTTCTGAAAAGCTTACTGCTTGTTGAATACCTCGCCTTTTGCAGGCCATGCATTCAATAAACAATAAGCTTTTCAGAAATGAAAATAATCCTGTTATTAAAACAACTGTTATGATTTAGCACACTGGAAAGCAAGCACAATATTACACTGCCAGTAATCCTCTTAATGAATGCATTAAAATGGAATGCATTGTTGCTACCCACAATCCTGGCTTAATTTTAATTCTCACCTATCAATGTGCCATTGGGCCAACTGTCTGGACAGTTCTTGGGATAGTCTGGTTCTCCCATTTTTTGTGGAAATAGAGGCTGATGACCTTTGGATTCATTGCTGCAGGGCCTAGTTTTATTGTTGCTCATCTTTGAATGGGGTGGAAGGACGATGGATGGAGGACTTGATCCACTGCTGGCACCCATAGATGGATCTGCAAGAAGGAAGTGTTGAGAGGGACACATGGATCATTTTATTAGCCATGTAAATGGCAGAACCTCCATTCTCTTTGGTTCACACCAAATAAGGAACACACTGCATAGTGTTTGTTTGTTTCTTAGATTTACAACTGATCAAAGATTCTTCGGGGCTTCCACTATGTAACAGACAAATTTAAACACTCATGGTATAACTAAAAGATCATAACATCACAATTACGACAACTGAGAAAACAAAAATCAAGAACGAAGGAATAGTGATAAAATGCAGGTGGTCCTCAACTTACGAACACAATGGAGCCCAATGTTTCTGTTGCTAAATGAGACATTTGTGACTTTGTCCCCATTTTACAATCTTGTCGCCGTTGTTAAGTGAATGAGTGCAGTTGTTAAAGTTGTCAAGTGAATTTGGCTTCCCCCTTGACTTTGTTTCTCAGAAGGTGGCAAAGGGGGATCATGTGACCCCGGGGCACTGTGACCATCATAAATACGAGTCCGTTGGCAAGCATCCGAATTTTGATCACATGATCATGGGGATGCCGCAATGGTTGTCAATGTAAAAATAGTCACAAGTCACTTTTTTCAGTGACTTGGTTTACCTGATGCTACTTCCAATCTTTGAATGTGTTGCTTACAAATGAAGATTATGGACAGATGATTATAATGAAATATGGTCATTTTTTACTGACATGGTTGTGTAAAACTGTATATGTATGTCAATGAAGGCTCAATCATCCAAGCCAAAAGTAGATTAAAATGTTAAATCATGACAACTGACCAATATTTGATAATCTGAGATGTTTTGTTCCTCATCTAAGTAACTTATGATGATGATGATGATAATGATCATCATCATCATCATCATCATCATCGCACAGTCAGCCAGATGTTCAGACTGGATTTGGCATTTTGTCTACCTATCGAGTCCTTACCTAGGACCTGGGATAGGCAGATGTGGATGTTTGATGGTATTACAGGTATTGTCGCAGGATGGAAGCAGTTCCTAGTAAGGCCGCCTTTTGCAATTGACTGATAGCGAATTTGTCAATGCCAATGGTGTTCAAGTGGTGCTCCAGTTGTTTTGGGATTGTACCCAAGGAGCCTATGACTATTGGTACTACCCTTGCTTGCTTTTGCCACAGTCTTTCTATTTCTATTTGTAGGTCTTTGTATTTTGTTATCTTCTCCAGTTCTTTCTCGTCTATTCTGCTGTCTCCAGGCACTGCCACGTCCACTATCCAGACTTTTTTTGTCTTTCTTATTGACAATTGTTAAGTCCGGGGTGTTATGTGGCAGGTGCTTGTTTGTTTGAATTCTGAAGTCCCAGAGCAGTTTAATTTTATCTTTTTCTATGACTTTCTCTCTGTTTCAGAAAACCCCACATACATACACAACGTAATTTTCATTTCTATTTCTCTTCTGTAAGTAACCTTGATGTTTCATATTAAGTTCTTCTTTGGACTTTTTTTTAATCAGATTTTCTAATGTGCTGGAAGAAGCAGTCCGATTCATACACGCAATGTGCTGTTTTATACCTACACATCAAAAAATGGTGTGTTCCTGATCTAAACTTAAAAACAGAGGGGAAGAGAAATCTGAGGGGAAGCAACTCCAAGATGACCTTCAAACTCCAGCTTTGTTTGTTCAGACTTGTTTTACATTCTGCTGACATGCCACAATCTTGCTAGAAAAATAACTTAAAGGACACGCAGACCAGGTTTGAGCTATCCACAGACCTTTCAGCTGCTCAGCCCAGAGACTCTGGTTGAACTCACTTGAGTTCAACAGTCAGCAACAGAGCCAACGAAAGAAAAAACATTAAGTATCTGAACACCCAAAGGAAGGATGTTGTAGATTATGATCATTCCTTGGCTAAAGGGAAACAATATATTTTGGGGGGATCTTGATTTCTGGGTATGAGACTCCATGTCTCTATGGAGTATCTCTATGGAGATTCTCAATCATCCAGGTCATGGTTGTCCCAAAGCTGTTTTTTTTTTCAAAAAGACAACAGGACTTTCTTAGTATTTTCTTTGAAACACACACACACACACACACACACACACACACACCAAGAAAGTCCAGTTGTCTTTTTGGGAAAAACACCTTTGGGACACTGGCTGCATGTCTTACAAATTCAAAATGGGTCTGTTTATAGATTTACCAGCAGGATTAGGGCGTAGAATAGAGATCTTCTGTTGGGCTTCTGCCAACGACATTTTGAAGGCAATTCTTTGATGACCAAGTCAAACCAGGATGGACATGGCCTAATCTTTGTGGTTGGATGCCATGTTCTTTAAAACTGGTTAGCCAAACCCCCTAACAACAGGGCTGGCTTTCCTTCCCATTCCGTTCATTTTTATGTTTTTAGATAATCTTCTATTTTAATTTCTGTTTCACACTTACACTTGGTTCACTGTTAACCCTATTTTCAGGGCCATTGCTAGTAACTCAATAAATATTTCTTTTCTATTTTCCATTAACTGTGAAAGTTAATCATGACATTCCGTCTGGTTGTATTTCACCACCAGGAGAATTCACACAAATATACACCCGCCGTGCTCTCTTCATATAATTGTCAATGTCTTGCTGAATTAGGACTGTACATTTCTTTGACATTTTTCCCTAATCTTTCTGCACCTTCATTTAGAATCAACATCTTCCACTTAAACTGATTTAAGACCTAACAGACCGATTACCTCTTTTGAAGGCTGCCTGTTGAGGAGTCTTACTGACAAGGATTGTCTGGTTCACTTTATTCCCTGGACTTCCTGTTTCACATGATAAACTCTGTGGTTTTAACACAATTTCCTTGTTGGGTACATTGTTATTCTGAGGACAGACGATCTAAACGAAGCAATGAGAAATGACATCATTTGCAATAACAATATTAACCAAACCTTTCACTTTCTACAGCTGCACATTTTTAGAAAGTTGAATAAATTCTAATGAAAACAAAATAAACAAAACAAATAAACATTAACCAGTGGAACAGCTTGCCTCCAGAAATTGTGGGTGCTCCATCACTGGAGAGTTTTAAGAAGAGATTGGACAGTCACTAGTCTAAGATGGTATAGGTTCTCCTGCTTGAGCAGGGGGCTGGACTAGAAGACCTCCAAGGTCCCTTCCAGATTCTATTCTATTCTATTCTATTCTATTCTATTCTATTCTATTCTATTCTATTCTATTCTATTCTATTGCATTGCATTGCATTGCATTGCATTGCATTGCATTGCATTGCAGGTGCCATCTTGATTTTTGACTCCTTAAGATGCCCCTCCTACAGGAAGTCTTCAAATTATGATCGGTTGTTTATCAACCTTGAAAGGTTATGACAAATATGAAAAAACAGACTTATGACCCAAATTCAAAATTCTGGTATTCAGGACCCTCTTGGGATTACATAATGGCATTTTGGGTGTTTGGCAACTGGCCCACATTTACGACTGTTGGGGGGTGTTTTCCTGTGGTCAGCTGACCACAATTTATGAAATTTCTTTTACTGGAAACCAGTGTTTACTTCTAGTTTCCACTAAAAAATTTCCCCAATGAGTCTGCTTAATGACCACAGTGCTCGCTTAATGACAGCTGCAAAAAAAATATATCATACGATCAGGCATGATCATGTGGCTTTATGACCTTCCTGACTTACAATCGAAATTGTGCGCTCAAGTTCTGGTTGCGTGTAAAGGGCTATCTGTAATCAAATATGAAGGACAATGGCTAACTTTAATACCAGTTTCCTAAGCCGTCTCTACTCACCTCTAAATTGCGCCTCCCTGTTTCAAGGTGGTGAGAAACTGGACCTTTGGCAGCATTAATTGCACATTCCTGAAAGACAAAGGGATGGCTGTGAAATCATGTTCCTTAGAAAAACATTTGCTCTGCCATTTCATCCCTTGCTTCCTTGCAAACAGGAGTTATTAAAATACTGCTTATATTTCTATTCTATTCCATTCCCTATTCCCTCTTCTATTCTCTATTCTTTTCTATTCTTCTCCATTCTTCTATTCTATTCTATTCTATTCTATTCTATTCTATTCATTTCTCTTGCTGAAAGAAAGAGGGAAAATGCCAATATTACTACAGCACGGTTGTTGCATGGTGTATTTCAAGCACAAAAGGAGACCATGATTATCCTAACCATAATTAGAGGATTTTGTAACCAAGCCTTTGTAAAATGGTGTTTTCTGAAAAGAAATGATCCACAGCTGAAGAACAGGGGGTCCCAAGCTCTCTTTTGATTCACCTTGGCATGAATCAGGTTGTAAACTGCATCAGAAATCCTCTCCTTCGGAAAGGTATCAAGGATATCCTTTAGAAATGCCGCACATTCTGTCAACAGAAAAATGCAGGAATTGTATTTCATTTGCTCCCATTTACAAAGCTTCCATCCCTCAGTCCTTTCCATGCAATCTTTGCTTGAGTGTGGCTTTTTCCAAGGTGATTCCATGCACATTGTGAAGTCCACAAGTCATAAAAGGACCAAGTTTGAAGACCCTTGCTCTAGAGCAGTGTTTCTCAACCTGGGTCACTTTAAGATGGATGGGCTTTAATTCCTAGAATTCCTCAGCCAGCCATCACTGTTTTTTTTAGCAGCAGGAAATCCCCACTTCTAATCAGGTAAAAAAAAAAAAGCCAACTCTTTTGCAGCAGTGGGGAAGACTATTACCTGCAGTGCTAGGTCTACAGTGGGGTTCTTGATGCCAGCAGAGAAGCATGAGCCGGACCAGCCTGTTCCGATGAGACAAGCCATTTGGGATGAATGCCGGTTCAATCCCTGGTCGCAGACCGTTGCAGACCCCAGTCACAGCTTGAAGCAAAGTCTTTTTTCCTATAGTAAGAAAAAAACAACAACACTGTACACAAGCTGCAGGAACTCTGCTACTAACAGCCTACACCAGGGATGTCCAACCTTGGCAACTTTTAAGACCTGCAGCCAGCCAGCCAGCACGGGGAATTCTGGGAGTTGAAATCCACAGGTCTTAAAAGTTGCCATAGTTAGATACCCCTGGCCTATACATTTATACTGGAGCACTGATATATAAACTACATGAAAAAAGCTTTAAAAAAAAACACAAGAGGGCAGCATTAAACCAAAAATCAGAATTTTTTTTTTAAAAAAAACAGTTCTTCACAGAACTTGTACAAAGTTGCAGCCACAGATAATATTTTTGCAATTTCCATATTAATAATTTGGCTGATTTCTGGTAGACAGACAAAACACAGAAATGCACAACTGAAGCAATTTAGGAGTAACTTGAAATGGTTACTAAGCCATTGATTATGAGTCAAGGAGTACCTGGACAGTATTTCCCATCATGCAACATCAAGACAAGGTGAGATTCCAGTCCAATTACATACAGGAAAGGAGCCAGTCCAAGGAAGATTATCTTAGATAGAGCGTTTTATTAGATAGCTTACCTGTCAGTGGCTTTTGTCGACTTAGGAGTTCCCAACACATCATCCCAAAACTAGGCAATGAAAAGGAAAACCAGGTGTTATTTGCTAACACCTCTCATCTAAACAGTTTCCCCAGCCCAACACACCTATTCTATTGGAAGTCCAAATTCAAATGACTCCTCAGCACCTCTTGACCTCAGAGAGCACCAAAGACCCCTCACTTCAACCCCAAATATTCTCCTTTATTGATAAATGTGGGTTCATTCTTTTGTCTGATGGTTTTATTCTCCCTCTTATCAAGATCATGTGAAGTATCAGTACCGCTTTATAATGCCTTAGTAAGGCCACACTTAGAATACAGAATTCAGTTTTCATCACTATATTATAAAAAAAAGATGCAGAGAATCTGGAAAGGGCACAGAGAAGAGCAACAAAGATGATTAGGGGGCTGGAGGCTAAAACATATAAGGAACAGTTGCAGGAACGGGCATGTCTAGTCTAGTGAAAAGAAGGACTAGGGGTGACGTGATAGCAGTCTTCCAGTATCTGAGGGGCTGCCACAAAAAAGAGGGGGTCAACCTGTTCTCCAAAGCACCAGAAGGCAGGGCAAGAAACAATGGATGGAAACTAATCAAGGAGAGAACCAACCTAGAACTAGGGAGAAATTTCCTAACGGTGAGAACAATCAACCAGTGGAATGGCTTGCCTTCAGAAGCTGTGGTGCTCTATCACTGGAGGCTTTTAAGAAGAGACTGGGCAGCCACTTGTCTTGAATGCTATAGAGTCTCCTGCTTGAGCAGGGTGTGGGATTAGAAGACCTCTAAGGTCTCTTCCAACTATGTCATTCTGCTATTATTTTCTGGATGGAAATTCCTCCCGTGCATCCTGAGTAAATAATAACTGCAGTGAGTGTTGATTACTGGGGTTTTTTTGGGTCTTGCACTTGATTCTACAATACTGGGATTGTTTCTTATATGTTTGACTGATCATAGTAATCATGCGGTTTCTGCACCTTTATCTGTATTCTTCAGATAGATAACATGATTTGCCTGTTATTTATGACTCGTGGACTTCAACTCCCTGAGTCAGCTATGCTGACTCAAGAATTCTGGGAGTTGAAGTCCACGAGTCATAAAAGAGCCAAGGTTGCCTGTCCCTGTACTAGGGGTTCACTCTTTGTTTTACAAAAATGAATTGGAAACTTGAGTTGGAAAAACTTAAGCTACAGTTTCCAAATGTTATAGACATTGACAATTCTTGGATTTAACAAGCTCTTATTTTGATTCAGAACTGAGGGTCCAATGCATTAAAAAAATCTGAAATAGGATCCCATCAAAGATTAAATTCCTGGCCTATCTGTTGCTTCTGATGAAGCCATCGATAGGATACAATAATAACTCTCCTACTTGCAGTTATTCCACAACTCATAATACCCTTCTTCTATATTCCTATCCTGCTAACACACTCCCAGTTTTCCTCACAGTTGGAACCCAGCAGTCAGTAACAGAATCATGATGAGGAAGAATCAGCTCCAAAAATACTGATTACTCCATTGCTAGAGGTTAGTGGGGAAATTTATGACTTCCTTTTCCCTCCAGTTTTGAAATCTAATACAAGCCTACTATGAAAAGTAAAGAAGCAACTTGGTTGGGCTCCTGGCCAGACGATCCAGAAGGCTCCAGGTTAGCTAACCCTGCCATACCATTGAACCATGGCCTCACCTTGACAAACAGTGCCCTGAGATCCTGTTTTAAAAGAAAGACTCACCTGTAAACATCTCCTTCAGGTGAGAATGGGCCTCCTTGCAGCATTTCAGGAGACAGGCAGAGCAAATCCCAGCAACTACTGTTGCTACAGTTTTCCAAAGCTGCCCTCAGCTGCTGTTTTCTCCAGGTGGGTTGGCCAAAATCAGAGATCTGCAAAATGGAAAGACAGCTTCTGAAACCAGGGCGGGCCAATCACTACAGGTAAATCCTCAAACTGCAGTCAGTCGTTGAGCAATTTGTCAGCTGCCAATCTTCGCTTTCTTTGAAGCTCGCTAGCAACTGCCATAATTGAGGGGGAGGGGGCGTTTGGGAGGGACAGAGCGCTGGAGGTATGAAAGAAGGCTGTGGGAATTTGAAGGAGGATGGAGACCGATAGGAACCAGAGGTGCCTAAACAAGCCATCGTCTTGCCTTTAAGGATGTCGGCCCTGGGAAAGGAATTTACACCAGCATCTGAGGCCCTGGGTTCCCAAAACATCAGAAGAGAGCCTGATTGGACTACTCTCCCAAGGGGGAGGGTTTTGGACATTGGGGATTGCTTTCAATATGCGATATTTGCAGGGTTTTCATTCAGAGCTTGCCTCGCTCACGCTGCACTCCGCACCTCTAGTAAAAGTACCTTTTCTCTAAGACCTAGGGCAGAATTCCCCAACCTTTCTGAGAGGGGAGGATTTTATGGGAGGGACAGGTCCACATATATATACCCGCACCCTGCGTGCTCAAGAGCACCTGTTGCTCACACCAGTGGGGCCAAGAGCACTCGCGACACTCGTGCAAGTGCGGCCCTGAGTGCCTGCAATGCTAGCGTGAGTGGGGCCATGAGGACCCACATTGCTCACATGAGAAGGGCTGAGAGCACTCGCAACGCTCACCTGAGTGGGGCCCTTGGCACCTGCGATGCACGCCCAAGTGGGGCCAACAGCATTTGTGATGCTTGCATGAGGCCCCGAGCGCCCATGACGCTCGCACGAGGCCCCGAGTGCTTGCAACGCTCACGCAAGTAGGACTCCGAGCACCTGCAATGCTTGCATGAGTGGGGCTGTGTGTGTGTGCACACCAGCCAGCCACTCACGCAACCCGGTTGCAAATAGGCCATGGCTCGTAGTGGGTCATAACCCACAGGTTGGGGACCCCTGACCTATGTAGTCAAGGGTCGTTCTTTCTTAGGGAGCAAGCTGTGGTCAGTCTGACACAACTGCCTTAAGTGGTAACAGCACTGGAAAAAAAACCACTTACGGCCAATCCTAACATTTATGATGGTTACAGCATCCCCACAGTCACATGATCTACGTTTGGGCGCTTGGCAACCGGCATGCATTTACAATGGCTGGTGTATCCTGGAGTCATGTGACCCCCATTGGTCACCTTCTCACAAAAAAAGTCAATGGGGAAGCTGGATTTGTTTAATGACCGAATGATTCACTTAATAACTGCGCTGATTTGCTTAACGACTCTGACACAAAAGGTAATAAAATCAGGCAAAACTCACTGGCTTAGCAATGGAGATTTTTGCTCTCAATTATGGTAGTTGAGGATTAGCTGGACTTCAGGAAAAGCTCTACGCCATTAAAGTGTTGTTCTGACAGCCAGTCAAAAGGAAGGGAGGGGGAAAAAGACATATTTGAAAAGCCTACCTTAGCTCGATATTCTAGATCTAACAACACATTGGAAGGTTTGAGATTGTGGTGAAGGACAGGAGGCTCCAAACTGTGAAGATAACTTAGACCGTTGGCAACATCTGACAGGATCCTTATGGCCAAAGGAACAGGCAGCTCTGGATAGAGTTCACGCTGAAGGAAAAAAAGTATGTATTTAATACACTGTTTTTCAAAGCATTAATATGTACCCCATATTTCTATATTAAAGGTATTAGAGATTTGCAGGCAGATCCTGAGCTCGTCTTGCTACTAATGAACATGGATAAATTAACCCGGAATGGTTTGCTTCGTGTGAGATGCTGGTTTGGTATGGCCTTTGCGAGCTAAGATGATAACCCAACTTTTGTTTTTGATTTAAGAATGGTAGCTTATTTGAAGGAACAAGCTGAAGTCCCCTTCTGGTGTGCCAAGAAACTGAATCTCTGCCTGTCCTATTTCAAGAGCTTCTCTTCTGGGCAATAGTGCCTTGTCTGGCCCTCATTTTCTTCATGCCATTGCTTCATTGTCAGGCTCCCCAAACCAAGATAGACATACAATGTTTCTTCCAAGTAATTTCTTTATTATTCCACTCCTTTAGACAGAATCTTGCCAAAATGAAGCATGCTGCTAACTACAACAAGCCTAGACTCTGGGAACTGTTACGGAGGAACGGTCTTCACCCTCTTTTTCTCACACAAACTATCTTCACCCTCTTTTTCTCACACAAACTATCTGAGCTAAGCTGCCTCCTACTTCTCTAAAAGGCAGCCCCTCCCTCCCGGGAATGCAGCTGCTTACTCCATTCCATCTACAGGAGAGACAGCCCAGGGAATTTTTATCCTGCCTTCTCTGACTTACATCATGAATGAGCAAACAGAGAGATCCATTGTGCATCCATGTTGTTGCAACCCCAAGGAAACCTTGGAACTGGCAAATACCCAAAAGAGGCAAGAGATGGTTGCATTGTAAATGTTGAATGTTTGTTGCTTCTTGAAGCAGGGCCTTGAAATCTCTGCAAGGGTAAAAAGAAGATCTGCATGTCACACTGTTTCAATAGAACAAGACAACATCATTTCTTACAGCAAAATGATTCATCAGTGTGCTTCCATTCCCCCCCCCCACCTTTTGATTATAAAGCTGTCGTGACAGGAGGGATGCTGTGACAGCTTCAACTTTGGGGATGAGTTCTAATTCTGCACAAGACCTTAAGAATAAATGCATACAAAGAGAGAATTGAGAAGACAGCAACAGATTAGCAAATGCTGCCTCCGTAAAGAAGCTGACGAAACAGTGGATCGCCTGTTTAACTGTTGCAAGAAGATCGCACAGACTGACTATAAACAACACCATGATTAGGTGGCAACAATCTTACACTGCAAGGAATGCCATTTGCCTGCAAGCAAGAACTGAGGGGACTAGAAATTAGTTACAGTAATAGAAAACAAAGAAGCTAAAGTGCTTAACACCCCAAACTTAACAACTGTCAATAAGAAAGAGAAGTCTAGATAATGGATGTGGCAGCAGAATAGAAGAAAGGAATTGGAGAAGATAACAAAATACAAAGACCTGCAAACAAAACTAGAACAACTGTGCCAAAAGAAAGCAAAGATAGTTCCAACAGTCATAAGTCCCTTGGGTGCAATCCCAAAATAACTGAAGCAATACCTGAACATCATTGGCATTTACAAATTCACCATTAGTCAACTTCAAAAGGCAGCTTTGCTCAGAACAGCTAACATCCTGCCATGATAACTCTTAACACTTAAAACTTCAACATCTGCCTATGTCAGGTCCTTGGGAAGGACTCGATAGGTCAGTGGTGGCGAACCTGTGGCACGGGTGCCAGAGGCGGCACTCAGAGCCCTCTCTGTGGGCACGCGCGCCATTGCTCCAGTCCTAGGCTTTCAGCTGGGTTTTTTTAAACCTTTTCGCTTTAGGCCTCCGCCGCCATGTGCAAAAAAAAAAAGGTTCAATCAATCAGTCAATTGTCAATGCTGCAAATACTGTATATTCTTGCTTTGACAATATGCAAAACTGTGAATATACAGTATTTGCAGCATTGACATCAATTTCAACTTCTTGCGGGAAAAAAAAAGATCTTGCAAAGTTGGAATTGATTGACTGAACTTTTTAGTCCCACCCAGTCTGCCGTTACCACCGCACCCACGCCCACCCAATGGGCCACACCCACCCAATTGGCCACACCCACCCAATGGGCTACACCCACCCGGCACTCAACGATGCATAAGTGTGTTTTGGGTTGCAGTTTGGGCACTCGGTCTCTAAAAGGTTCGCCATCACTGTGATAGGTGGATAAAAATGCCAAATTCAGTCTGAACATCTGGCTGGCTGTGCAATGAACCCAATGGTGGGATTCAAATAGGTTCTCTGTGTGGATGCCACTTCCAGAAGTCCATTCTGGGTTTGGGCAACAAAAACTTAGCTACCAGTTCTGCCAAAGTGGTGCGAACTGGCTGAATTCCACCACTGAATGAACCATAATAAAAGAAATAAGCTAACCTTTCTCCTGCTCTCTGGTTACTCAACAGCTTCACAGAGACATCTGTGCGCCAAGCCATGTGGAAAGCCTTCAGCGAGATGCCAAAGCCCGTCTGACTCAGGGAAATGTTCTCGAGATCTTTCTGGGAAATGATGGGCACCAGCTTGGCCATTTTAGGATGTTTATCCAGGGCAACTGAAAAAGAAGTGAAGCTGTTACAGAAAAGATAACAGAAGAGAACTGAACTGCCGATGAATGTATAGCCTTTATTGTGGACATCCCACCAGCAAAACCGACAGTTTTTCAATTAAATGATAAACCCCAAATATAAAATGTTAATGTAGTAAATGAAGTACAAAGTATATGGCAAGAATAGGAGGATAAGACGTTGGCACAGATAACAAAACAGGAACTGAAAATACTTATGCGGCATTAACTCAAGACACAGCAACAAAAACCACAAACAGGCACAAGATCTAAGCGTGACTGGCTGTTCAGATGGGAAATCTTCCTAATTTGCCACATCAAAAAAGGGCAGTAAAAGATATATTTTTAAACTCAAAACAATCAGAATTGTGATGTCTAATGATCATGTTGTATTACAGGACAATGAAAATAGAGAATCTTGATTTTCAAAATCGGAGTGCAGTCACAGAAGGTTGAAAAGTTCATTGAAAAAGCATCAAAACAGAACTAAAGGACCATTGAACTCCTTCCTTCCTTCCTTCCTTCCTTCCTTCCTTCCTTCCTTCCTTCCTTCCTTCCTTCCTTCCTTCCTTCCTTCCTGATTTTCTGATTTAGTTCTTTCAGAATTTGGCTTTTTCTTCTGGAGCTGTGGAGAAAGCTTTTTTTTTTTCCTTCAAGGAAGAAGCGTGCATCCTGTTTACTGAAAATCACCTCTCTAAGCAGTTTACAGAGTCAGCCTTTTGCCCCCCAACAATCTGGGTCCTCATTTTACCAACCTTGGAAGGATGGAAGGCTGAGTCAACCTTGAGCCAGTCAGGATCAAACTGCTGGCAGTCAGCAGAGTTAGCTTGCAATACTGCATTCTAACCACAGAGCAGGATGGATGGATGGATGGAAGGAAGGAAGGAAAAGAAGGAGGGAGGGGAGGGGAGGGGAGGGGAGGGAAGGAAGAAAGAAAGGAAGGAAGGAAGGGAGGGAGGCAGGAAGGGCAATAGCCATGACCTGGAGGACTGAGAATCTCCATAGACATTTTGCAGAACGTATTTCATTCTGGAATAGTTTCCAGCATGTTCCCAATTTTTCCTCATCCCTGAGCCATTGCAAAGGTCTTAGCAATAGTTGCAGCGATCCTGTGATTCTTTCAGGACCTAACACCCAGCAGGACATACACAACCAACAGAAATCATTTTCATCACTGTCTAGTTAGGTATATCAGTATGCTATGTCAAAGCATTCTGTCATGGAGAAGAAGGGGTTGATCTATTCTCCAAAGCACTTGAGGGCATGTCAAGAACTAATAGGTGGAAGCTTATCAAAGAGAGAGCCAACTTATCATTATGGAGAAATTTCCTGTCAGTGAGAACAATTAATCAGTGGACTGATTTGCTTTCAGAAGTTGTGGCTGCTCCATCACTGGAAGTTTTTAGGAAGAAATTGGACACCCATTTGTTCAGAATGTTATAGAGCAGAGGTCCCAAACCTTTTGGGCACCAGGGACCGGTTCCGTGGTGAGAAGTTTTTCTGGGACCGGAGGGGGTGTGGTTTTGTATGCTCCCTGCATCCCATGTATTTTACCAGGAAACATAGATAGGGCAGCCTAGTAAAGTCAGTGCCGTCCTAATCATACCCAAGCACTCCGAGTTCATTGGCGATGTCCATTTTGCTCTAGGAGTTCATGGTGACGTAACCCTAACCATAAGTGGAATTTTCCTCCAATGGGATTTTCCCATGTATTTTACCAGGAAACATACATAGGGCAGCCTAGAAAAGTCAGTGCCCTCCTAACCATACCCAAGCACTCCGAGTTTGTTGGCGATGTCCATTTTGCTCTAGGAGTTCAAGGTGACGTAACCCTAACCCTAAGTGGAATTTTCCTCCAATGGGATTTTCCCATGTATTTTACCAGGAAACATAGATAGGGCAGCCTAGAAAAGTCAGTGCCCTCCTAACCATACCCAAGCACTCCGAGTTTGTTGGCGATGTCCATTTTGCTCTAGGAGTTCAAGGTGATGTAACCCTAACCCTAAGTGGAATTTTCCTCCAATGGGATTTTCCCATGTATTTTACCAGGAAACATAGAAAGGGCAGCCTAGAAAAGTCAGTGCCCTCCTAACCAGACCCAAGCACTCCGAGTTTGTTGGCGATGTCCATTTTGCTCTAGGAGTTCACGGTGACGTAACCCTAACCCTAAGTGGAATTTTCCTCCAATGGGATTTTCCCATGTATTTTACCAGGAAACATAGATAGGGCAGCATAGAAAAGTCAGTGCCCTCCTAACCATACCCAAGCACTCCGAGTTTGTTGGCGATGTCCATTTTGCTCTAGGATTTCAAGGTGACGTAACCCTAACCCTAAATGGAACTTTCCTCCAATGGGATTTTCCCATGTATTTTACCAGGAAACATAGATAGGGCAGCCTAGAAAAGTCAGTGCCCTCCTAACCATACCCAAGCACTCCTAGTTTGTTGGCGATGTCCATTTTGCTCTAGGAGTTCACGGTGATGTAACCCTAACCCTAAGTCGAATTTTCCTCCAATGTGATTTTCCCATGTATTTTACCAGGAAACATAGATAAGGCAGCCTAGAAAAGTCAGTGCCTTCCTAACCATATCCAAGCACTCCCAATTTGTTGGCGAGGTCCATTTTGCTCTATGTGTTCATGGTGACCTAACCCTAACCCTAAGTGGAATTTTCCTCCAATGGGATTTTCCCATGTATTTTACCAGGAAACATACATAGGGAATCCTAGAAAAGTCAGTGCCCTCCTAACCCTACCCAAGCACTCCGAGTTCATTGGCGATGTCCATTTTGCTCTAGGAGTTCATGGTGACGTAACCCTAATCCTAAGTGGAATTTTCCTCCAATGGGATTTTCCCATGTATTTTACCAGGAAACATACATAGGGCAGCCTAGAAAAGTCAGTGCCCTCCTAACCACACCCCAAGCACTCCGAGTTTGTTGGCGATGTCCATTTTGCTCTAGGAGTTCATGGTGACCTAACCCTAACCCTAAGTGGAATTTTCCTCCAATGGGATTTTCCCATGTATTTTACCAGGAAACATAGATAGGGCAGCCTAGAAAAGTCAGTGCCCTCCTAACCATACCCAAGCACTCCGAGTTTGTTGGCGATGTCCATTTTGCTCTAGGAGTTCATGGTGACGTAACCCTAACCCTAAGTGGAATTTTCCTCCAATGGGATTTTCCCATGTATTTTACCAGGAAACATAGAAAGGGCAGCCTAGAAAAGTCAGTGCCCTCCTAACCATACCCAAGCACTCCGAGTTTGTTGGCGATGTCCATTTTGCTCTATGAGTTCATGGTGACCTAACCCTAACCCTAAGTGGAATTTTCCTCCAATGGGATTTTCCCATGTATTTTACCAGGAAACATAGATAGGGCAGCCTAGAAAAGTCAGTGCCCTCCTAACCATACCCAAGCACTCCGAGTTTGTTGGCGATGTCCATTTTGCTCTAGAGTTCATGGTGACCTAACCCTAACCCTAAGTGGAATTTTCCTCCAATGGGATTTTCCCATGTATTTTACCAGGAAACATAGATAGGGCAGCCTAGAAAAGTCAGTGCCCTCCTAACCATACCCAAGCACTCCGAGTTTGTTGGCGATGTCCATTTTGCTCTAGGAGTTCATGGTGACCTAACCCTAACCCTAAGTGGAATTTTCCTCCAATGGGATTTCCCATGTATTTTACCAGGAAACATAGATAGGGCAGCCTAGAAAAGTCAGTGCCCTCCTAACCATACCCAAGCACCGAGTTTGTTGGCGATGTCCATTTTGCTCTAGAGTTCATGGTGACCTAACCCTAACCCTAAGTGGAATTTTCCTCCAATGGGATTTTCCCATGTATTTTACCAGGAAACATAGATAGGGCAGCCTAGAAAAGTCAGTGCCCTCCTAACCATACCCAAGCACTCCGAGTTTGGCGATGTCCATTTTGCTCTATGAGTTCATGGTGACCTAACCCTAACCCTAAGTGGAATTTTCCTCCAATGGGATTTTCCCATGTATTTTACTAGAAAACATAGATAACAGAGCCTAGAAAAGTTACTGCCCTCCTAACCATACCCAAGCATTCTCAGATTGTTGGCAATGGCCATTTTGCTCTACGGGTTCATGGTGACCTAACCGTAACCCTAAGTGGAATTTTCCTCCAATGGATGTTTCCACATGTATTTTACCATGAAACATAGAAAGGGCAGCCTAGAATAAGTAACAGAATGAGTCCCTCCTAACCATACCCAAGCACTCCGAGTTCGTTGGCGATGTCCATTTTGCTCTAGGAGTTCATGGTGACGTAACCCTAACCCTAAGTGGAATTTTCCTCCAATGGGATTTTCCCATGTATTTTACCAAGAAACATAGATAGGGCAGCCTAGAAAGGGCAGCCTAGAAAAGTCAGTGCCCTCCTAACCATACCCAAGCACTCCGAGTTCGTTGGCGATGTCCATTTTGCTCTAGGAGTTCATGGTGACGTAACCCTAACCCTAAGTGGAATTTTCCTCCAATGGGATTTTCCCATGTATTTTACCAAGAAACATAGATAGGGCAGCCCAAGAAACATAGATAAGCGTCAGTTCCCTCCTAACCATACCCAAGCACTCTGAGTTCGTTGGCGATGTCCATTTTGCTCTAGGAGTTCATGGTGACGTAACCCTAACCCTAAGTGGAATTTTCCTCCAATGGGATTTTCCCATGTATTTTACCAAGAAACATAGATAGGGCAGCCTAGAAATGTCAGTTCCCTCCTAACCATACCCAAGCACTCTGAGTTCGTTGGCAATGTCCATTTTGCTCTAGGAGTTCATGGTGACGTAACTCTAACCCTAAGTGGAATTTTCCTCCAATGGGATTTTTCCATGTATTTTACCAGGAAACATAGATAGGGCAGCCTAGAAATGTCAGTGCTCTCCTAACCATACCCAAGCACTCTGAGTTCGTTGACGATGTCCATTTTGCTCTAGGAGTTCATGGTGACGTAACCCTAACCCTAAGTG